TTCTGACCCATATGAGGCCAGACGCCAGGCGGAGGACTCACAATATCTGCTTCCAATTAAAATTGGATTATTGAATGAAAATAGAAGTACCAAACAAAGATGTTTAATTCTTGTTTTATTCAATTTTGTTTCCGACGTGATACGTGCCACGAGGCTACCGTAACTTATACAGAGGCCAAAAATATCATAAGTGAAATAGTTATTAAAAAAATTAAATTGAAAAATTTCAATCATTTCGAAAAAATTATTTTTGTTCGCGGGGGTCAATTGCAATCATTTTTGGTGAATACACGTACCTCCGAAATCTTAAGCAGTTTCGAGAAAAAAATTTGGGTAGATAAAATTTTTCGGCGAACAAAAAATTTTTCAAATCGTTCTAAAAAAATTATTTTCTGGTACAGGGTTCGATTACACTCATTGTTGGTCATTACATATACCCCCGAAATCCTACGCATTTTCTAGAAAAAAAATCCCTTACCCGAAAATCTAATGTCTGACCATACACTGACATGTTCCCCTGAAATTTCAAGCGTATCTTTAAAATATCATAACTTCTGAACGGATTGGACGATTTTAATGTTTAAAAAAGCAAACAACGCGTAATTTGGTGAAGAATATGTGGAAATTCCAAAAATATTCGAAAGGTTATTCCTTGACACCGCAAAATGAGAAAAACCCCATAAAAATGGTCCAATTTTCAAACAACCATAACTCCTACAATAGTGAACGTATCTCATTGAAATTTAGCAGGGAAGTAGAGCTCATGGGTGCCTACAAAAAAGTATTAAACAATTTTTCTGTACAGCACTAATCAAATTTATTAAAAATGAAAAACGAATTTTTAAGAAAAATCGACAAGGGGATTTTCAATTCGTTCTGGAAAAATTATTTTCGGCTGCGGGGGTCAATTACAATCATTTTTGGTGAATAAACATATCCCCGAAATCCAACGCACTTTCGAGAAAAAAATTCGAGTAGAAGCCTTATATCGAAATAGAGATCTTTCCTTCTGGAAGTCCAAGAATATTATTATTTTATGTTCTCTTTTTTCTCAAGAAACTATCGAAAGTAACATAGAACTAGATAACGCTGATCATTAAACCATGCAAAATTTTCTTCTACGATCTTATTCCGTCTTCGCTAAGAGCAAAGCTATAGACTGACCCAGTTACTAGAACCACGTTGCACACTGCACGAAGCTATAAAGAATTCCTCCGAGGCATATTTACAATGTACAGAAATCCGCCTTTTCGCCCGTAAGTGCACTCTTTACGATGATAATGCTACCAACCCTTGCTTTACGCGACAACAAAATCCTACTCGATAATGAAATTTCCCAAAAATTCAAAGTCGTCATCCTGGATGTTTGCTAAAAAAAAAAACCAAACGAAATCGTTCGAAAAGAAAATCCTACGCCCGCATTGTTCCCGGCTGGCAATAAAATCAACCCCCGGAGATTATCCCAATTATTTACTGTCCGTCTGAAATTATTTTTCTCGAAAGAAGAACGAGACGAACAACAGAAAGGAGAATCCTCGTTCAAGGAACGAAGCGATAACGCAACGTCCGGACCCTTGCTCCCCTTTTTCCCCCTCCGCGAACGATAAATCGCGACCGTTGGCCGGGTGAAAAAAAAAGAAAATAATCCCCAGCAATGGATATATCCGCTTAATAACGAGCGCAAAGGACACAGTCGGATATTAAGTCGGGGTCCACTTTATCGAAGTGGCTGGTTTACAAACTGGAACGGGTTGTAATTCATCGTCGTGGCTGTTCGGCTGGCTCGTAACAACGCTTCGTTAATAAAACTCGTACCGGTCTTAGTTTAATAATTGATATCAACCCCTTTATTCGGCGAACGCTAAAACTCGCCTAATGCCGAACGCAAGCGGCCGCAACGCCCGTCGGCGAACCGGGATTGTTAAACTCCGTGTCGCATGGCTACGTATTGCGGAATTTACACACAAAATTCTACCCAATGCAGTGAAAATGCAGGCGCATAATGTGCTCGCCTTGGATATCTCGGGAATTATGCGCTGCGGAAAGAATCGTTGCGCACCCAAGTTGCACCGTTTCGAGTAGCCTTCGAAAGTAGACAATTTTTGGGTAAACAAGGTTTTAATAATTGGAATTAATCGAGCAAAATAATTTCGTGTATCAGTTTTCGCGGCCGTCTATTGAAAAATCGCGAGAACACGCGGTGTTTTGAAGCCGTCAAGGCGGGATAAGTGGTTCGCGCGACTCCGGATCGGCGAAAGATTAATGGTCGGAAACATCCGCATGGTAAATTCAACGCGTTGCATCTGCAAACGCGATTTCGCGCGCCAACAACGGGAACAAAGGAGAAGCGAGGTGAACAAAAAAAAAAGAGGGAGGAAAGACAGAGGAGATGGTGCAAAAATTTAATTACGAGGCTGCAACTGCGGTCAGGCACGCTCGTTTGCGCCGCGAGTTTCGCGTCCCGTTGTGCGTTTTCGGTTCTCCTTTAAACGCCGCGGTATCGTTACGCGTCGTTCTCCCGCTGCCAAAAAGGCTCGCGGAGGCCGCGAAACGCCGACCGTTTTTCATCCGACGAGACTGATGACTCGCGGGTGCTCGTAAACGAAACAACCGCGATCGTGCTAGCTGATTTTTTTCTCCGTTTCTCGCTCGTTCCGACTAGGCTTGCCAAAAATTTAACCGTTCCACCGCCCCTCGTTACCGCCGACTAACGCAACTTCTTTTTTTTTAGTTAGTTTATTTAGATTTTGGTACGCTCCAATTAGGGAAGATTATATGCTAACTAAAAGAGAATAGAAGGATGCGAGACATATTGTTTTGTGACAGTAAAATCTCACAGGATGTTATTTCAAAATAAAAAATTGAAGCGACCTTGACAACATATTTCAAGGTCATTGAAATAAGTTTTTGAGTCTCGACTGCTCAAGCATTTTTATTTTCCAACCTATATATACTTATTTATAATAGTTGCAACAGAATTTGAAACAGTTTGGGAAGAAAAGTTTCTCTACGTTTGTCGACTTTACCAATTCAGCGGCTCAATTGGTTGTAGTTCTGAAGATCACTGTACTTTCAACGGAGAGGTCGCTCGAAATCTACTGGGTTTTTTACCGAGTCGGTATTTCAGTTCGCGAGACACCAATGTCCATAAATGCAAGGAACAGCTTTACCAGCATTCTTAGAATTTCTAAATATTCTTCACAAAAGTACGCGTCGTTTGCATATCGAAACATTAAAATCCTCCAATCCGTTCAGAAGTTATGATTTTTTAAACATATGCATAAAATTTCGGGGAACCATTTCTGGTCACACATATATACCACAAAATCTGACTGCCATACCGACCAGTGGTGCCAGAAAAGCACCGACGGTGCCCTACTCACACATGCCAGATCACGCGTACGTGAGCTCGCGGAGTTTCGGAGAGTCGACAAAGACAAACTGACGCATGCCCTCTTTCTCGATTCTCCGAAGCTGCCCGAAGTAATTTCGGACCGTCTCGTAGGAGTCGAGAGGGGAAGGCTCATTTGCCTTCTCGCACTCCTAGCCTCCGCTGGCCTCTACTGACCACTGCTGACCACCCCTGATTCTTCCGACAACATATAACGATTACTACATGTTACTGCTTGCCCCTGCTGGTCTCTGCTTGCCTCTGCAAGCCTCTGCTGACCCCTGCTGACCCCTGCTGACCTCTGCTGACCCCTGCTGACCCCTGCTGACCGCTGCTGACCTCTGCTGACCACTGCTGACCACTGCTGACCCTTGTTAACAACTTCAGCCATGATATATATATATTAAAACATTGTATAATGTAAATCTATGGCAATAAATGATATACTTACAAAGAATTCTATGTGTTCTCATCATTTTTTACCTTTATTTTCCTCTCCAAATCATTACCTTAGTTATAAGACTCCCTGAAACTCCTTGGTTTCCCTGAACCCACTAGGAAGTCCTGAAACACCTCGGAAGTCCTGAAACTCAGAACTTTGCTAAAAATTCAGGGTTTCCAAGAAATTCCAGGACTTCCCAGTTGTTTCAGGACTTTCTAGCTGTTTCAGGACTTTCCAGCTGTTTCAGGGCTTTCCAATTGTTTCAGGGCTTTCCAGTTGTTTCAGGACTTTGCAGCTGTTCCAGGACTTTCCAGTTGTTTCGGGGCTTTCCAGCTGTTTCAGGACTTTCCAGTTGTTTCAGGACTTTGCAGCTGTTTCAGGACTTTCCAGTTGTTTCGGGACTTTCCAGCTGTTTCAGGGCTTTCCAATTGTTTCAGGACTTTCTAGTTGTTTCAGGACTTTGCAGCTGTTTCAGGACTTTCCAGCTGTTTCAGGGCTTTCCAGCTGTTCCAGGACTTTCCAGTTGTTTCAGGACCTTTTGACGAAAAAAATGAAAAAAAATTTAAAAGTTAATTTTTGATTTTGGCAGCAAGTACGAGAGCTGGACACTTTGGGAATCCAATTTTAACCGGAAAAACGGTCTCTTAAAACTAAGGCAATGATTTGGAGAGGAAAAGAAAGGTAAAAATGATGAGAACACATAGAATTCTGTTAAATTATATCATTTATTGCCATAGATTTACATTATACAAGGCTTGAATACTTATACATCATGTCAGAAGTTGATAACAAAGGTCAGCAGTGGTCAGCAGTGGTCGGCAGGGGCCAACAGAGGCCAGCAGAGGCCAGCAGAGGCCAGCAGAGGGATGCAAAGGCATGCAGAGACCAGCAGTAACAAGTAGTAATAGTTATACGTTGTCAGAAGCATCAGGGGTGGTCAGCAGAGGCCAGCGGAGGCTAGGAGTGCGAGAAGGCAAATGAGCCTTCCTCTCTCGACTCCCATGAGGCGGTCCGAAAATACTTCGGGCAGCTTCGGAGAATCGAGAAAGAGGGCATGCGTCAGTTTGTCTTTGTCGACTCTCCGAAACTCCACGAGCTCACGTACGCGTGACCTAGCATTGTGTGAATAGTGCACCCGGTGCACAGTCTGGCATCACTGGTTCGGTGGTGAATTTCGTAGTATGCGGGCATCGTTTGCCGTCGCGTCATTATTTTCTGAAGGATGGAGGATCCAGTAAGGATTATCGTAAAATGGTGTGGAAAAGAGTATGCGATTTCAGATATACAAGAGGACGATACTGTTCTCGATCTGAAAGATCGTATACACAAAGAAACCGGCGTCCTCCCGGAACGTCAAAAATTGCTGAACCTTAAATTCAAAGGTTATGTTTTGAATTGTCTTTGTGTCTGTCACTTCCATTAGTACGATAACATGCACGTTTGATTTTTGACAGTTCGCTTTAGAATTTGAAATTTATTTTAATGAATTCGTTTGATTTAACATTATTATAAAAATTATTTAAAATTCGATCAAGTCTCTATAGAATATTTCCCTTCACCAGGCAAAGCAGCTCAAGACAAGGATGTAATAGGAAAATTGGGCCTTAGGCCTGGTTTCAAGCTAATGCTGATGGGCTCTAGAGAAGAGGATATTGCAGAAGTAAGTCAATCGCCAAAAGACATGCCCAATGTAGTCAATGACTTAGATGTGGAAGAGGAAGAAGTAGAAATTGAAAATGCAGAGATATATCTTTCAAAAATCCAAAAGAGAATCGATACTTATACAATTGTAGAATTAAATCCGCTCAGACCAGGAAAGAAACTTCTGGTGCTGGATATAGATTACACTTTGTTTGATCACAGATCAACAGCACAAAGTGGTGTGGAATTAATGCGCCCTTATCTCCATGAATTCCTAATGTATGCTTATACAGACTATGATATAGTAATTTGGTCTGCAACTAGTATGAGGTGGATCAATGAAAAGATGAAGCTGCTTAGAGTTTCCAACCACCCATTTTACAAAATAGCATTCTATCTTGACTCCCAAGCAATGATCTCTGTTCACATACCAAAGTCTGGTTTGGTTCCTGTTAAACCACTTGGTGTTATATGGGGGAAATACAAACAATTCTCTGCAAAGAATACTATAATGATTGATGACATTAGACTAAATTTTATGATGAATCCGCAGTCAGGATTAAAGATTCAACGTTTCAGGCATGCGCATATCACCAGGAGCATAGACAGAGAGTTGATAAAGTTATCAGAATATTTAAAATTAATAGCCAAAATTGACGATTTTCGGACCCTTAATCATAGAAAATGGGAAGACTACAAAGCAAAAAAAGAGAAACAAGAAAGAAAGAACAAGCCAAGCACAGATGAGTAAAGTTTCTATGAATGTTAAAGATTTGTTGAATTTTATCAATCTTCCCACTATCTGAAAGAGAACAGGTTACGCCATTAATTGCGTTCACGACGAAAAATCGATCTGCATTCTCTATGAAGAAGAACATGTAAAAAAAAAAAAACATCTTTTAAGTATTCTTCCATGAATGATAATGTAGAGTATTATTTATAATAACATTAATTAATCGGTATTCACAGTGCTTGAAAATTTCATGTTACACTGCGTAAATTCGCATATTTTCACACGCTTCTTTGTATTTATAACGTACTTATGGATTATATAAAACGTGTACAAAATATGTAATCAAAAACTATCTAAATAAAGCCTTTGTATGTAAACGAAAAGGAAACGTTTATTTCTTCCCCGTGCGTACTTGTTTATTTTTTTACCCAAATTGTTATACATGAAACGTTTTGAGATCGTTCGAAATTGCATTGATACGGAGGTGTTGAAACCTGTCGAATTTTGAAAAATTGCAAAAACAGTTTATTAATTGTTATCGGTTCGAGCGATTGGTAACATCGCTGAACATGCATTTCATTTCCTATCCATTGTTATCCGAATTCCGATCGCCATCTACTCTTTGATCGAAAACATGCAGGTACAGTCTATGAAATAAGTTTATTGTTGGTTTCATAAACGTGCAAGATGGCGAAGTGTCCGTCATAGGCGGACTTTCGTTAAGAGAGTTGACGTTACACATGCTACGTGGAAATCGTCGTTTCGCGGACAAGTCAGAAGAATGGAACTGTTCCGTACTGACACACATTTTATTTTCGTGAAAGAGAGGTACAGCCTTTGGTGTGACAAATACACGGGAGAATTTTCTGCCAAATCGGGTGGGTATGCACTTATCTTTGACAGGAGTGCGTATACATACGCTCACGTCAAATGCAATACACGTTGCAATTCAATGTTTTCATACATAACTTTCACAATTTTTTAATTAATGCAACGATGATAATTTAATATCATTTTATTCTATAAATTCATTTTTATGGCTAGATTTAGCAATGCAAAATTTAATTTTACGGTAAATCATGATTAAATTGTTGCTACTGAAATAATATAAGCAAGGAAACACCTTAAAAGGTAGTCGCGAACGTGCTGTTTTGCAATAGCTATAGTGCATAGATTATGTAAATATGTAAGAAGTTGATACTTACTAATTAAATTAATAAGTGAAATTAGTTATTCATTAAATAACAGGATTTAAGGTGTTATGTAGGCTGTTAATAATTGTACAATTTGGTATTTATTGTGAATTCTTTTTCAGACTGGGAATGGGCTTCACCAAAAGATTTAGAATGCCTTGGAATATTTTATGGAATAGTTGGAAAAATAGAACAGCCCAATGTGTTAGAACCCCGTTTGATGTTGATCAAAGAGATTTCACCAGCTGGGGAACTTTATGGAGGTCATATTATTTACAAGATCAAATCTATTGCATTTTTGCACTTTGGCACAGAAAACAATGATATTGGACTTCTGCCATGCAAGAAGCATCAAAACTTGCCAAAGAAAAAAAGTCAAACCAGTTTATTCGATGTGCCACAAAAAGCAGCTTTTGCCAAAACATGGGGAACCATTAAAAGCGCTACAAATACCATAAAAAATACTACCCAACAAGCAGCTGCTCTTGCAACATCTCAGGTAAATTAAAGATATGATCGATTGTGCAAGGGATTGCAACAATAAAACATGGTTTACAGGTCAAATCTACAGTATCCAAACGAAGCATTGTTAAAGACAAAGAGAGATTTGAGAAAAGAATTCTGGAAGAATTAAACAAAATTTTCAGTGAAACAGACTCCTTTTATTTCTGTCAAACTGGTGACATTACTAATAGTTTACAAAGGCTTTGTAATATAGAAGCACAGCAAAATGAGGAAGAGCAAAATAAACCCCTTTGGCAAAGGGTAGATGATAGATTTTTTTGGAACAAACACATGCTACAGGATATAATGAATTTGAAAGTAAGAGCCTTTATGAATTTAATTTGTTCATTTTATATGGTACATGTTTTTAACAGTATTTCATTACTTTAGACAGATAAAGCAAATTGTTGGATATTGCCAGTGATTCAAGGATATGTGCAAATAGAAAAGTGCAAAGTAGAAGTGGGATTTGATGACCAGCCTCAACACGAAACCTTTAATTTAGCGATTATATCGCGAAGAAGTAGGTTTCGCGCAGGAACACGGTAATTATTGTTTTTATCTCTACTTATTAATTTCTTTGTATGCCAAAATGGTTTCTCCGCTATGGTAAAGGTATAAGCGACGCGGCGTGGACGACGAGGGAAAGTGCGCGAACTATGTAGAAACGGAACAACTTGTTTGGTACCATGATCATCAGGTGTCTTTTGTACAAGTCCGAGGTAGTGTACCTGTCTATTGGTCTCAACCTGGATACAAATACAAGCCTCCGCCGCACATCGACAAAGGTAATTTCACGGATACAACGATTTTATATAAATAAACTAATAATATTCGCGACATTTCAGGCGAAGCAGAAACGCAAGTTGCATTCGAGAAACACTTCACCGAAGAGCTCGGGTTATACGGACCAATTTGTATCGTTAATCTCGTGGAACAAACCGGCAAGGAGAAAATTATTTGGGAAGCTTACAGTAATCACGTGCTTAATTACAATAATCGAAATATAACTTACACGACCTTTGATTTCCATGAATATTGGTAAGTAATCGCAAAGCTTCAAACTAAAAAAAAAGATATTTCGAATTGCCGCTAAATCTGTACATTTGTACCTAACACAGTCGAGGAATGCATTTTGAAAATGTGTCTATCCTGGTCAATGCATTAGTTCCGTTACTGACAGACATGGGGTACTGTTGGCGTGATAAGCAAGGCACAATTTGCATGCAAACGGGCGTGTTTCGGGTGAATTGCATAGATTGTTTAGATAGAACGAATGTGGTGCAAACCGCTCTGGGTAAAGCTGTCATGGAAATGCAGTTTTCAAAGCTAGGACTAATACCGCCGGATGGAACGCTACCGACGAATATCAGGCAAACGTTTCAGTTGCTTTGGGCCAATAACGGCGACATTATCAGTAAACAATATGCCGGCACAAACGCTCTGAAGGTTCGTACTTGGTAGCGACTTGTTTCGTCGTCCCGCGTAACATTGGATCAACCATATGCGAAACCTTACTAGGACCCTGATACGTGGTTTCTTTGTTGCTTATAGGGAGATTACACAAGAACGGGTGAAAGAAAATTTACTGGGTTAATGAAAGATGGCATGAATTCTGCAAACAGGTACAATTGGACAGTAATTATGATGCATGTCCTACATTGCATTAAACTATTACTCTCATTCACTCGTCATTTGTGATGGGCATTCGAGTCTGTGCCCCGAAAGTGATTCGTTCGTCCAATTTTATTCGGTACTAGAAGACCTCGATAGTCTTGATAGGTCTTGAAACGTATACATTCAATTATTCGCTTAAGCTAAATATTAAGTTTCAAAGCCTAAGAAGACTCGAAAGCCGACAATTGTCAAAACTTTTGGGTATCGAATAATATACGAAACGATTTGATCCGATTTTGAGCTCTACCACTACTCATTATACACGATACGTTACTTTACGAGTATCATTCATTGACCAAAGACATTACGCGCGAGAATACCCTTTAACAGCTATAATAAAGAGTAAATTATTGTCTTTAATTGCATTTAATGCGTGACTATGGTCATACATTCCATATCATTGCTTAAATACTGATTTCTTTGTACATGGCATAGATCCTTGACACTATCCTTTCATTTTCCCATAGATATTTTCGACAACACTTTATGGATGACATACGTCAAGCGGCGATAGATACCTTGCTAGGGAATTCCATCGACGTTAATCAACTGAATACAGATTGGTCGCATTATTTAGACATCTTCGATAATTGCTGCCTCGAGCTAATACCCGCGAAACCACCAAACATAGAGCTTCAACTTGCTAATTACCCAGACTTTCTTTATGCCAGTGTTATATATAATATAGCAAGGTTCGTTGTAAGCATTGGGTTGAAAATCTTTAACCTATTAAGACGGCAATAAAATATTACTATAAATTCTGGACGTTGTCATTTTACCAAACGAGAAAATAAGATGATGTACGATTAAAATATAACCCCACATGATTATTAAGTTTGACCTCGTATCGTACGGATACGACGTCTAATTGCATGATATGTGCTTGACTTTTATGTCTAATCTTAATCCTAAAATACGCATCTGTTCTAATCTCCATGTCTTTATAACAGACCTTGCCATTGCTTTGCCTTCATTCAGACTCGATGCAAATATTTGGAAGATACCGTATTTTTCAGATATTATTTAAATCGCTTCAAGGATGTCTATAGGCAGGCTACGATTGATATGATGTTAGGAAACTCGGTGAACGAGGAAGTATTTCAAGAGCGTACCGAGGAAGAAGACAATGCTGCAACGGCAATTCACGTGAAACTGTTGATAGAAGATTGCAAGAAGCTACTTATACCTGACCCGGAAGCTATTCTAGGCAGTTGGGGCCTGATAGATGCCGATCCTGTGTATGTTATACATTTCTTAACCTTCGACATACACCTACTAAGCTTTCCTACATGAGCCTTCGTTTCAATAGTACCGGAGACCCGTCGGAAACAGAAATGGACACTATTCTAATATTAACGCGCGACAGTTACTATGTAGCCGATTACGATGACCAGATCGATAAAGTAACAAACTACCAAAGAGTACCGCTCGACGATATTATATTGATCGAATTCGGTCAGCCCGAGAGTTCAGTTTCTCTCTTTAAAAATAAGCAATTTCATTGCATTAGAATAAATTACAAAGTGGCCCAGGAGTACGGCTACTTCCACGTGTTTCGCAGTACAAATTTACGTTTTTTTAATAACATGGCGGTTGTTATAAAAACCGAAGAAGAAAGTATAGGTAAGATTGCTCGATATCCTTTGATTAACGATTGTTAATTTGGACGATGCATTGACTTGAACGTTCCAGAGTCTTTAAGAGCAGTGTGCGAGGCTATTTCCATAGCAATGGAAATATCAGGTCTACCAAAGATTCCTATAGCGATGAATGTAACATTAGATAGACGAAAGAGTAAGTTGGTTAATGTTAAAGGATCCACAGGACTGTTAGACATCTCGTCCCTTCCGGAATTAACCAGAAACGTCTCCGAGACACAGTTACTAGCCCTTAAAAGTGCAGGTATCGTATTCCTGAACTCAGAAAGTTATACAATCAACATTGGTATTCACTAGGACAAATATTTCTCTTGCAATGATTCATAAAATTTCGTACGATTACAGGAACGAAAGCTTTAAATAACATGTCCGAGCAATTCAGTAAATTGAACAAATTAAGTCATAGCTTCAGTGCAAGGAAACCAATCGACATAGCGAAAAGTATAGGCAGAAAGTCTGAGGCAACACCGAAGCCTACTTTTACCGTTGGAGGCAGAGACATTTTAGGCAATGTGCAAGGAAAACATCATAGCGGTAGCAACAGCAGCAGCGACGACGAGAATATAGTAGAAGGTCCGTCTGTTCCTTTAGGAAAACCGGATAATTTCAGTCACGATAAAAATTTAATGGAAGCGTACACTCCATCCATTGGTATCATAATGGGCGTAAAAAATCCCGATGTGATGGAAAACGATGATAACAATGAAACGAAAATATTATCAATACGACCCAACAATCTACCTGATCAGAATTTGAACGCGGAGAGTCTGATTGTTCCAGAGACTGGATCTGGAACAAGCACTTTAAGTGCTTCTCCTCAAAGGACCACGGCCACAACGCCAGAAATAACGATACAAAGCGCGACTGAGGCTTTGATGGAGGACAAGGAGAGGATGGTACCACCATCAACGTTGAATCTCACAAAGAATATTAGTCATTCGACAGGAGAGGTTGACAGCAAATTAATACTCAGCAATATGAATGCCAATAATTTGCAAACGGAAAATAGATTGCAAGAGAAGAAGAGATCAACGTCCGAACAGGATCTAACTTTGAACATTACATCCTCTCAAAGCGAATCTGCCTTGAAGTCAATAAAAACTAACATAACGAATGTCGCCAGCCCGGTGGCATCTACCGCCAAAGATATCCTGTCGCCTTTCTCGAAATTCGCTAAGGGTGTTCAAACGTTAGGGGCGAATTTAGATCCCAGAAAGTTGAAAACGGCACAGGCAGGATTACATAGAAACCTTTCGGACCATCACGTGGAACAACGTCAGAAGCTGCAAGAGAGATGGGGTTCTTGTCAATCGAAACTGATCGCTTTGTAAGTTTGTTGAAGATATTATAGCTAAAATCTGAATGTCTAGCAACGTTTATTGTAATTCACGAATTAGGGAAACACAATAATAGACTAATAATTGGCAAATTGTCTCGCACTAATATAGACGTGAAACATACTTCTGCATAGGAATTGATAAATGTACTTCTCGTTGCCACAGATATTTCCTAGATATAGCATTGTAAAAGAATCGTATTAAGTTGTACATCTCAGTGCACATAATACAATTGATTATTTTGGATTACTGCCATCTTGCCGAAAAGTTGCGCAAACAAAGTCTCTAACCAATAAGATATATTTCCTATACTTTCACATAAAAATTACCTTCTCAAAGTACAATGTGGTCAATATTTAAACTACAAGTCACAGTTGGTGCGTTTGCTTACAAATTTTCTATTATTCTACATTGATGAGAGCGGTGTACTCTCACTCCTACACGAAACGACTATCTATTCGCAAAATGCTTTTGGCATGTTTATACAAAATTTTTGTCACGATAGCGTTTGTATCGATTTTATGAAACGAAACCTAGCATTGCATTTGAATGTTAGAAATTGTGAATTTACTAAAGCAACGTGCTTATACAATGAAATTTAATCCCAAGCGTTCTCTAAAGCTCCACGTTTTTGCTGCATAATTAAATTTTCTTGATACTTGAAACATTATTTACTATACAAGATGTGTGTCCCATTTTCTGTAAGCTCGTCGATACAAACGTGCGCGTAACATTTCCGAGTTCGTATACGTCAGAGAATTGAAAATTTATTTATGCAGCAAGTTCATCAAAGAAGCTTTGTAGTCAATTATGTAAATACAAAAAGTTATTTAAGTGTAGTCTAGTAAATAACGTAATATTGCTGATTAAAACGAAAGTATAGTGGCAAGATGGGATGTGCAAGGTAAACAATCACTCTGGAAATCTGTACAATGTGAAAATTAGGGATGATAATTGTACTGAAGTAAATCTAGATACCGGAGAGCAAAGAACTAGTAATGAAAAATTTAGAACTACTACTTAACAGAAACCAGAAACAAGTTTGTGACTTATTTTGGATATACAAGGAAAGAAAAGCTTTGTTACTGATATATATATTGTTTTCGGCATAAAATTTCAATCGAAACGCGTTGATGTTTCAAAAAATCAGAGAAGAATCATAGTATTCATACATTTGCATAGTTACAGTATTATGTACAATATACTTAAACAATTATAGTAAAAATTTGCATACATAATGTGTATTTAGATCATGAAGAAGTATTCATTGTTATTTAATACACTATTTATAACACTGTAGAGCAAATAATTATGAGTTCTAACTTTAGGGAGACAACATCTTGTATGTAAATATTTTATTTTAATCACGATATTCTGTGAACATTTGATAGTTGCACTAACGTATGGTAGAAGTATTACAAGTAAGAGTTTTTCTAGTGAATGTTTTTTCCAATTGCAAATAATAGTCTGTGATATAATCTAGCAGAACGAGCACAGCCTAAAATGACAAAAAAAAAATGAGAATAAAAAGGTGTGTCGATTCTGTAGGTCATTTAGGAATGCTTTAAAACGAAAACACGAAACGCAGGACAGTTTTCAAGCAACTCATTTTGTTTAGCTGAATTCATTACCCAGATTTTATGGTCGTTTATTCATTCCACATAGAACAGCTTATTTTTAAAGTAATTTTATCTTGTATACCTTGTGAAATATTTATTTATTGATGCAGTATTATAAGTCATCGAAGAAAATGGAATCTATATTTTTTGTTCCTTTTTTCGTATCAAGGCAATATATATATATATATATATGGTCCAATTAAAGTTGAGCATTCAATATATTATAACTGATATTATGTGTATTTTTACAATAGACAATTACAAACAATCCTGACAAACAACGCACGAAAATGTTCATAGCCTGTAGAGGCTTTAACTTGTCTTATATATTAGCAGTTACATTTTCGAAAAAAATATATATATATAAATATGTACATGTGATACAGCAAGCGACATAGCACTTGTAGAAAAGAATTACAATAAAAATCAATCAACTCCGATTTTTTTGTTTCGACTCATTTTTATTCCCCCTCCCCAAAACGAAATATTTGAAATAAAAATGATCAACGAAAATACTTTCGCCCTTCCAGGTTTAAAAGAGTATTCAATTAATTTCTATTTGATATTTATAGAATAGAAACAATTTTCCTTGTAATTTTTAATTACAATAGGAATAAACGCGTTACTAAAATATTCGAACGATCGATTGCTCCAATATTACGACAAATCAGATCAATTTTAAAAATGCGATACGTACTTGAAGACGACATCGTATTTTGCACCAAACCGTTCAATTCTAGCACGTGATTGGAACAATTATTGCAACTAAATCACTGTAAAAACAATATTTAACACTACTCCGGTCCTCACTGTTCAAATTCATTTGAACCAGTGAAGCGTGGCCGTTACGTTCAAAATGCTTTCGATTCTCGAATCGAATCGAACGATCGATTTTCGATAAGTTCATTACTTCATTGTTTTGGATTAACACGCGGTGCGGTGCGTGGTGTTGATACTCTGTTTTCGGTCGCGAAGTGTTTTAAATAAATAATATGATTCATCGTTTTTAAATCGTTCGACAATTTATTTTTATATTAAGCAGTGAACATGGAATGCTTTTGGTCCGATCCATCTGAACATCCACAGTGTCCACATGGTAATTTTTGGCACTGGATATTTCCAAAATTTTCAAGCGATGTACAGGTATATCGAATGTTTACCGTAATATTATCTTCATGCAGGACCAACATTATTATTTGGTACATATGAGAACGGCAAGTTGGAAAAGTTCTACGTATGTGCCGCCTGTCGTGAGAAAAAATTGTGCAAGTTTCGCTTGAAAGAAGGAGAAAAACTGACGAAGCAACAGACGGCCAAATGGGAACAAGAAAGAAAACAGTTTGCCAATCGTTATCATCACAGAATGTTATATGTACAATTCAATAAAATGATGTCTTTGCCGCCGGAAAAAAGGTGTTACTGTCAAACTTGTGAAGTATTATTACATCTTGATGATAAAGACAAACACAAAGATCATAGTATAAAGGAAAATGTCACAGACTATCGGATGAAACATCCAACAGAAATTTTAAAACCCTTAGAAAACTCGAGACAAGAAGCTCAATACTTTTTTTCAAAAAAGTCAACAGAAGAGATAACAAACATATTAGTAAAACTTGGTGCAAAGCAAGTTATTTGCATTGGCACACCAAAAATACATGAACATATTTTAGATAAACATGAGGAAAAAATGTCTTCCCTTTTATTAGATCTTGATGGAAGATTTGTAAGTTTAAAAAGTTTGGAAGAATATTTTATAAAAGCATTATTTACTTAGAGAACAGAGTTTTATATAATATTTTATTTTAATACAGAAATAACAGAGCAATCTAATTTTTGATTAATTATTAACAGTATTAAATTTCTCATGCGAACAGTTAAGAACCAATGCAATTTAATTTTTTCATTAATATGTTCCAGCATAATTTCTTTGGTCCATTAAGTTATTGTTGGTACAATGTATTAAACAACTATTTTTTCAATAAAAATGCTATATATGTGTTTAAAGACTTTTTAACACAAAATGGAGGAAAAGACACATACTTAATATGTGATCCACCATTTGGTAGTCGAATGGAACCAATGTCATGGACTATGAAGAGAATTTCTGATCTCCACAAAAAGTGGAATAACATAGAAGATGAAAATGATTGTTTGAAAATTATGTTTGTATTTCCGTATTTTATGGAATCCATAATAAAGCAAAAAAGTAATCCACCTGGTATATCTGGAGGTTTGAAAGATTTGAAAATGACAGATTACAAAGTATCTTATGATAACCATTCCTTATTTGTTGTGGAACCTAAGGCTAATAAGCTTCCCTCTCCTATTAGAATTTTTACAAATGTACCATTACATTTGGTAGATCTTTCTGATGTAAATGGTTACAAATATTGTAAGAAATGTAAGAAATGGGTTTCCCCAGAGAATAAACATTGTAAGAAATGCAAAGAATGTACCTCCAAAAATGGTTTGACGTATAAACACTGCAATGTGTGCAAAAGATGCGTGAAACCGAATTGGGAACATTGTAAAACTTGTAAAAGATGTGCCACACGGAAACATGAGTGTGGTCGGAAACCAAAAGTTAGCGGAAGGTGCTTCAAATGTAATGAATTTGGTATGTACAAATGTATACGGGTACCCGCAACTTTCGGGTTGATTTCGACGATGTATTATAAAGTAAAACAATTGCGTCGCCATCATCGAACAGTATCGATTATCGATGTAATCTATTAGGTTATATAATACATCCGCTCACGTTTCTTTTTAAGCGTTAAATATTGCCAATTTTCTATAAAACTTGATCAATAATATACATATGTATGTGTCAGTTTGTTCTACGATCGTTTCTCATCGTTTGGACAATAATGGCGGCGACACGATCGTCTTATTTTTATCGAAGATAAATATCGTCCAAATTAACTCGAATATTTCATACAACAGCATGCACAATTTATTTAATCATTTATAGGACATGCTGAGAAAGAATGTAATGTTGATCAGGATAGTCTTGAAGACGTAACAAAAACCAAAAAAATTAAGAAACGCAAGGCTAGTAACGACAAAGAAACAATTATCAAGAAGAAAAAGAGGAAAGTAGATAATTCAGTAAAAGATAACGCTAAGACTGAAAGTGAAAGTTCTAAAAAAACCTCGATTGTTAGGAAGTCTAAAAAAATAAATTTACATGCTGTATCAAATGGTATCACAAATACGAAGAGAAAAGTGAAGAGGCAAAAAATCTAATTTGTTTATGACGAACGAATGTTATTTTATATATTGTAAATAAAATTGTTAAAATCCTTTTCCTTTAACCATTTTTTCAAATACATTATTAATGGTTCAAAGAAGGACCTTTGAAAGATTGAAAAAGTCCAGACAACTCACCAATTAGAAATTCTGCTATCTGTGTAGGGTGCTTCAGTATCTTAAAAAAATAATATTTTTTATATAAATAGCTTTAATATTGTGTTTGGTCCCAGACCTGCTAGTACACTCATCAATAAATGTTATCTAGTAGATAATTAATTGAACAAATTGTTGAAACAATTAACGCCTTTATTGTATATTTTTTAGACCCCGGCTACGCTATGGCTAACCCATTCTATGTTGGAGATTAGTTCAACGCATAAACGATTTTACTCACCAAGTATGAGTTTTGAGTTCATTTGTTACGAACTGGTGTTCGTGACGACAATATTTACAAATTCTTGTACAATTTTCACCTGATACACTTTTTATTTGAATTTTATTGCAAAAGTTACAAAGAAGGATGCAGCGTTCACCCGCGAAAATCCAAATTCTAACGTTAAAGTGAGGAGCTAGATCCGATTGGGAGTAGAAAGATGGCCGCCCCCTTGTCGCGGTTTTCTTGGAACGTGTTAAGGCAGAATCAGTTTCAATACAAACAAGTGTTAATTTTTCCGTGCGCGGATCGGTTTTCACGATGTAGACGCTTTTCTACGCAACAAGTAAAACGTCAAACTTTTTACAAAACCAATAGAAATGTTCTAACCTATTCCATTATCTTCTCTGGTTTTGGTTATATTTTATTCAAATGGAAAGATGATATTTGTGATCGATTTAGTAATTTAATGAATTTTATACCCACGGTACATGCAAAATCAATACCCGTGTTGGATATTAATCATAACAGAGATAAATATAATTTTATAGCTGATGTAGTAGAAATTTCAGCTCCTTCTGTGGTGTACATTGAAATCAAGGACAATAAAAGGTACGTATAAATTATGTCCATAGAGTGTACAAATGTAATTATGTAACTACCATTATTTGTACATTTATTAATCCGGAAATAGACTTGATTATTTTACAGGTAAACCAATTACTACTAGCAATGGGTCTGGTTTCATTGTTCAGTCAGATGGGTTGATATTAACAAGTGCTCATGTTGTAGTTAATAGAGCAAATACAACTGTGAAGGTAATTTTCATGGTTGTATAATTGTGTTTTTTTTTTTATAGTAAGTAAATGCGTTAAATGTTATTCCAAAAGTTTTTATAGAGCCTGTATCACAGGTACGACTTTATGATGGAAATATCTATACTGGTATTGTGGAGGATGTTGATATGCACAGTGATCTTGCTACTGTGCGGATTAACAAGGTCTATATACATTGTACATAGCAACACATTAATTTACAGATTACCACAATAATTACTTTTTATTCAGACCAATCTGCCAGTAATGAAGCTTGGTAGTTCATCCACTATTAGGCCAGGGGAGTTTGTGGTTGCTATTGGATCTCCCTTAGCTTTAAGCAATACAATAACTAGTGGAGTTATAAGCAGTGTAAACAGACAAAGCGAGGAACTTGGTCTTTACAATAAGCAGATGGGTTACATCCAAACGGATGCTGCAGTTACAGTTAATATCCTTATTTATTGAACACGAAAAATTAAACTATATTCGTTTCTATCATGTACTGTTGCCTCTTAGTTTGGAAATTCGGGTGGTCCACTGGTCAATTTAAACGGGGAAGCAATTGGTATAAGCGCGATGAAAGTATCAGCTGGTATTTCGTTTGCAATACCTATAGATTATGCTAAAGAATTTTTAAAGAAGGCAGAAATGCGTCGGAAGGGCAAAGGTAAAATATCAGAAGCGTGAACTATATATAGAATCAAACTAAAATGATGTTATGTTAGGTGCACAGACTGCAGTAGACATCTCTAAGAATCGATACATAGGCATCACTATGCTCTCCCTCACACCCAATCTTCTCTCCGAGTTACAACACATAGTCGAAGGAATTCCGCATAGCATCAGGCACGGAGTCCTCATCTGCAAAGTGATCGTCGGGACACCGGCCCATTTGTACGTTTCGTGATTAAACTTCTATTGATGCTACCAAATAGGCGAATAATCATCGTCAAAATATTCCAGAGGCGGTCTGCAAGTCGGCGACATTATAACGCACGTGAACGGCGAGGAAGTAGCGAGCGCCGTTAACATCTACAAGGCATTGGAAACGGCAAAAATTTTGAAGCTGACTGTCGTTAGAAGAATGCAAGTGTTAAATTTAAAAATCGAACCGGAAGACGTGTAAAATCATAGCACGATTTATCTAACGTGCCGTTTCAAATACACCATTTTAGAAATCGGAGTCTGCTTTTATTATGTACACCAAAGTGCACCCTGTCCCCTAAACGTATTCCCGCGTTATTCGCGACAATGACAAACGATCCCAGCGCGCGGACAATTTTTCGATAAGGAGCCCGCCGTGAATTTATTCCGATCGGCGGATTTATCGAAGGGCCGATTGTTCCTTTATCTTCCTCCTTATTCCGGTTTCTTTTTTCGCGGGTCGCGGCGAAGAGCGATGTCGCGTCGCTCGGATACGAGGGTCTCTTGTCGCGATAGGGGACGACGACACGCGTGTGCGTGCGTGTGTACGCCGGGTGTGGTCCACTGGCTCGGCCGCATTATGTTTATGTTGTTTACGACATAAGGCGACCTCCGCAAATATGTGGCCGGATCTCGGTGCGCGTGGGTGTGGTCCTAGCATTTTTTCGAAAACGATTTTACTGTCCACGGACGTGTGCATCTTCTCGGCACACGGGCTGCCGACTCGTCGAATTTTTACTATAATAATACTGTTACCAGTATTATTATTCAAATGTATATTTTTTTACTCGATTAATAATATTTAAATAGTTGCAAGCCTTGGGTGCTTGCGAAACGAGACGATCGGATTCGCGCGCGCTTGAAACAGACCACGTTGACAGGTTTCGCGAGTTCACACGCGCGCCAACGATAAATCGCAATTAACTTCTGGTGCACCGATAAGGGTAACGTCTGATGGCTTTCATTACGGCCGCAATAAACCGTGACCGAGTGGTGCCAACGATGCCTCTTCCGCGATGAATAGTTATCTCCCGAGGACGGTTTAAGGCGACGTCCGTGCCGGGCAGGAAGCACCGGTTTTCGTTTACAAGCAATCAGGTTTCCCTCGTTAGACCTCGTTTTTCTTGATCCAGTTCCTCGTCCCGTGTCGCATACATTAAATTAACATTAATACGAAAACTGTATAAACACGCGATGATAAACGACAGCGTCGATTTTTCCAACGCGGACGCGCGTAGATAAATATTTTCATTCATCTTATAATAAATTACCGATTTCGAATTATGCTCCCTCCTCTTAAAATTAAGGAAGATTTTTTAGAAATCGTTTGCAATTAATTTCAAGCACATTCTCTATTTGCTTTCTATCTGTACGCTCTTGTCGCGTGTTTCTCGAGCGGGCGAGGACCCTATTCCCTGATTATCCACGCTTTTTTGCCGCGTATCTTCGCCTACGAGCAACCGCTGCCACTTCCTACGAGCGTGTCTAGCGATTCTCGGTAGCTGGAGAACAAATGGGCATCAAGGTGATCGTGCCCCGGTATCTACGAACCAACGAACGAACGAACGAGATAGCCCTGGATCGCTCGCTCGCCTACACGTACTTACATGTTGACTTTCCACCGGCCGATGACCAGGAGCGAGGAATCTCCTTAAAGGACGAGATCAGGCTGCTGGAAGAGGACGTGGCCTGTCTTTTAATAGATCCGCCAGAAAGGGAATAGAAGATCGCGACGTTCGCGGCTTAGACGCTGGAAAACGTTCGAGAACTTGGACTCACGACCACTGCTTATAAACTGTTCATTTCGGAGCCATGAAGTTATTTCAATAAATAACAATTATAATACCAAGTGGACTTGCAAAACGAACGTTGATGATAGGTGAAGATTCGATCAGAAACGAAATGGAACCGGAGTTTATTTAATAGGAGACTGGAATATGTAAATATCTGTATCTGCAATTAGTGATACATGCATTATTAATATTAGCTCAGATCAGAGGTTGTAATGTGTGGTGGGGGGCAGGCCAGTGACCTTGAACGGCCAATATTTCCTTCCCCGACTGTTCGCGAGCGTTCGAGGAGCCAGAGATCTGTGACGCGGACAGAGATTTGCGAGCAATGGGAAATTCGTATACCGGATTGGAAGGAATGCAGCTGAGACACTCGAGCCACACGGAACGGTACGTAAAGCGACACCCTCGACGGTCCCCAAGACTCGAAATGTGTTTCTCGTTCCAGGATCACGCGTGTCTTTGTCCCTTCAATTTGATACAAAGAGGAGTCGTCGCTAAGACAATCAAGCCTGGTCATTCTCCCGTCGTCCTCCAGCGAACTTCTTCCCATCGTACACCACGAGCGCCGTGAAACTCCTGTCGCATCCTTCCCTCCCCCTCCTCCCCCCCGTTTCCCCTATCGTGTCGCGCTCGACAATGACAAATAATTCCCGCTTTAAACGCGACGCGATTAAAGCCCGCAACCGGACTCCCCTCGCGCGACACGCAGGACAATCACTTTTGTTTAAACATTTTTCTCCGGATTCGCGCCAACAGCGTCCGGGTCATCGCGACGCCGAGGCGTCAAGGACGAGGGACGGACGATTTCACCGCGACGAGGGAGGATTCCTCGAGCATCCACGGTACGGGTAAAAGGTAATTTGCCCTAATGCTCGTTAATCTTACAACCCTCTTGTCACTTATCATCCAAGTAATTGTATAGAATTAAGTAATTATTTGAAAATTATATACGTAATGTTCCAATCACAGTGTTTATATTAAAAGGTGTTTGTAGCCCTATTATATGTGATGGTTGGTATGGGAAATAATTGTTATTTTTAGTATAATGTTGTTGAAGAGAAACGATTAAACTTAGTAAAGAATTTCGAATTTAAATTTTGAAAGGTGTCTTTTGCCACCTTTGGTAACTGGACTTATTTTTGACTAGTTTTTAAGTCAAGATTTTAGTCTTTACAAATTTATTGTGTTTCCCGTTTGAGAGTTTGGAATATAAAAGTTTCTCCGTTGTAATTTCTTGTTCGTTTTAAACAAACTGGTATTTCGAACATGTTGCACTTCCTCTATGCGTTTAATTTTTGCGGAGATCGCCGCGGCGTCAAGGACGAAGGTGGGGCGTCTTTATTGCGGCAAGGGTGGATTCCTGGATGTCTGCGGTAGAGGTAAAAAGGCGGGAAAAAGGCCCACGGCAGGCGAACAATTTCGCTTCTACAAGACCCGCCGATGCGTTCGCGCGGCCCTCGATCAAGGACGAGAGAAATTGTTGCAAGTCGGAGGCCAGCCGCGGACCGCGAAACGCAATCACGACTCCCATTGTATCGGGGATCTATAGATCCTCCGGGGAAAAACCGGTGCACCGTGGCCCCAGCATTCACTCGCGTCGCGACAAATATAATTTACCGCGGCAAGAAGTCTCAAGTTTGTGGACATTCGACGGGCCAAATTAATCGAATAAAAATTTTACTGTCGCTACAACATTGATGGACGCACATATTTGAATTACGATCGTTATGCAGGTTCTACAGGTAAAAAGGACAAAAAAAATCCTTGAGAATCCTCCTCGAGTATGACGTTGTAATCGGACTATCCACATTCTACTTCGTAGCATCGCGTTCCCCTTACTCCACGACTGTTTTTCTTTCTTTCTACCTGTAATAACTGACATACTTGCATTATCTTAAACAGGTTCGTGTAATATTACTGTACCGTGGACTGGAATTTATTTATAGCTAGGCAAAAATAACGGGCCGATTGCAGTGAAAACTACGAGTTGGATAAACTGCTAAATAACTGGGATGTATACAAACGTACATCTGTTATTAATCTGTTACAAATAATAAAGTTCGCCATAGTTATTGAAGATCAAATTATATTACTCACCGATTGCATGTTCTGATACCTGTAAAAAAAACCATTTAGGCAATTTACCACGATTGGGAACCCCCGGTTTTTAAACATCGAAGGGATTGCTTATCGAATATTTTCGAAGCTATCACCGATGCTGTTGATTAGTTTCGTTGCCTCGCGAGTGGATTCTGGCACACTGGTCAGCGATAGAGAGCTGTTGGGCCGTAGTTGGGCCCGGTCGCCGCGGGCATTGATCATCCGTGCAACGATCCGACGCGAATAAAGCAGCGTTGCGATGGCGTTAATGACGCTAATAATTTCACGGCGGCAATTACACGCGGTACACGCACGATCGTGGTAGTTATGAACCGGTACAAGAAATTTACACGCCGGCCAATCGGGCCCGCTCATCCACCGACGATACTCGCCAGCCTCTGGGGGCCCCCGGGATACCACGCCAGCTGATTGTTCGGTGAACCGGGGCCCATCTTCCCTCGCGGCTGTAAATTCTTTTTCACCGTTTATTTATCGCCGTCGGAGTTCTTGCCACTGTCCACGATGGCAGTTAGGCCAATACTGGCGAATAATCGGCTGGAAAATGCAACGATCGTTAATAAATATTTCATTCGACGGCGGAATTTAAATCAAAATTTAGTTTCGAGAGTCTGATGGAACTTTTATATGATCCGCTCTGAAATACGGTAAATTTATATCCGGACGCACTTATTAAAACGTCTGCCCCTAATTATCGCACTTTTTAAATCCCCGGAGGCTGGTCGAAGCCGCGCGGAATGCCTATCAGCGTTTACGACGATATAAATTCGCCTAAATTGACCAATTTTGTCCGAGAAAAACAAAAGTAACGTTCCCTTTTTCTCTGGGACTGGGCTTTAAGTATTGGTTAAACTTGTCGTCTCCCGTATCTAGTAAAAAAAGGGAATTCCTGTGTCAGAAATTTATGGACGTATTTCGTTATGTTTATTTTAATTAGAGTTTTCCTTTTATGGTTGGAGGATCAAAAATTTGATTCGAAGTGAAATTTTTGCTAACTAATTTTAACAATATTGCTGAGAAAACTGACGACGAATAGCTTATAGTTAACTTGTATTTTCCTTTGCTCGAATTTGAGTGGTTCTCTTTTGAATGATACGATCTATGAAAGTATGTGTATGTTGTGAAATTTATGGTTTCTTCATAGGGACGGGTTACCAAACTCTGCGTGAGAAGCTATTGTCGAATATAGAAGGTGATACATTTTTACCGATCATTTGGTCATCTCCGTTACTTTCGATTTTCTCAAGGTCGTTCATTCTTCGACTTTTTAAGGTCGTCGGCATTCCTTCTCGTAGTGACAACATACTTTTATCACTACAGTATTGCAGCTGACGAAACAACGACCTCAACCGTGTATGGTCTGTTGACCTTCGAATGACCTTGAAGTATTTGAAAGGTGCACGAAACGATTTCCACCAAGTTTGGTATTATTTTCCAATATGGGTTCATCGATGCAGCAGAATTTACACGATTGCTCCTTATGGAAGTACAAGAAATATTACTTTCAACATTACCAGATCCAAAAAAACCATAAGACGATCGTATCGAAAACAAAATGAAAGAATCGTAACATGTGTAAGATATATTGCAACTCCGCGCGGCAGTTAGCCAAAGTGGGAACGTCATTTTCGTTTTTTCAGAAGTGAATGGCAACTCGCATAAATGTTTTGGCCCGTGTGCTGAACGGGACGCGAACTGACCTAACTTACTATATCGGGATCAATGTTTTAAAACAGCACATTTCGTATGCACAGCAAAACAAAACAGAGCAGCTTAAAAATAACAGTTTCGATCTTTGCACGAGGAAATGTATTTACAATTTTTAAATATACAACGTAAACGAAAAGATTGTTATTTCAAAGGTTATTTGTAATTCCTATTACTTCAAATATTGAATATTTATATTATTCAAAATAAATCGATATTTTTGTTATTTTCGCCTTGTTTTCGACGCTGTAAATGCATTCTATTTGTTACGACTGTTATTCGTATCGACACACTTCTCAAAATAGTGTATTTAATATTTACACAACGTATTTGCTAAATAGAACCTACAATGGTATCTAAAATACTATCAATTAAATATACTCGATGGTTCTAGACACGACCAGTGTTATATTTCGAAACGAGCGTTCCATTGTCTTACGTGTGTTATTAAATATGATTGTTAGGAAAGGAAACATTGAAATGTTGGTTAAAATAAGATTTACCCGTGTCGGTGGTCTCTATTCTCTGCTGATCGGTTGGCATCCCGTTCGGGAAGACGCGGATCTAGCTCCACGACCGAGACCACGGTCACGATCGAGAAAAAGTGCAAACCGGGCGAATAAAAATGTCCAAGAAGAGGCACAAGCGTCGCAGAGGGCGTGGCAAAGACTACACTCGCGTGGATCCGGATCCTGGATCGAGGGATCCCGGTCTACGAGTATTCGGTGAACGGATCCGCCTGTCCTTCGACGGTTCCTCTGGTTCCTGGTTCGAAGACACGATCCAACCGACTCGTCCCCTCCGCCATGTATATAAGTCAAAACCAGATCGGAAGCAAGGTGCACAGGCCGAACAGTCCTTCTCAAGCAAGGAGGTTCTCGCAGGAATACACCTATCGCAAGATGCAGGCACTGGTAAGTGCAACTTCTCGACAATCAAACTAGTACAACTATCAAGACTATTATCTATATTTCTATTTCTAATCTTGAAGGGTGTGGATACTCTCAAATTTTCATTCGTGATTCTCTATTAGCTAGCAATCCTTGAGCTCTTCTTTTGTATCTTCGTACTTATAGCGTGGAACATCAATCGATATTGGATTTCGATCAAATTATTATTTTATTATTTCGAGGGATATTCTTGAATTTTTCTCGACATTCTCTATTAGCTACCAATTCTTGAGCTCTTCTAAATTTTGATATTCGTACTTATAGTGTCGACTATCTTTCGATCGATAACGATTCGGGTTTCGATGAAATTTCAAAGTCACGTCCTCTTCTGACATCTTGTCCCCGAAGGTGTTTAGGGGAATCAGGGTCCTGGAAATCGGATCCGTGCCTCTCGCGGCCTTTCGATTCCGGACGCCGTTGAAATTCAAATGAACACCGAAATCAATGCGGAGGAACGTGGTCTGGGGCCCATTCGTTTTCGCGGGGCTCCCGTTTCTCCGTGTTTCCGCTCGCCGGTGTAGCCACTCGTTCGTCTCTTATTGGATCGTAAAGAGAGCTGGATCTTCGGCCTCATGCAAGTATAAATTTATCCTCTCTTACGTGACGGGAAGAGAGTACGCGGCCCCATCGACCGCGGGCGTAAAATCCCGACGATTCGATGGCTGCGGTTTCCTCGAGGGCCACCAGCGAAATTTTAAAACGTCACCGAAATCAGCTTTCCCGTCACTTCGAAGACGACCCTTCCGGAAACGGAGCCTCTGGGATCGATTCCTCTCGATTTCAAGACCTCCGAGTTCTCGAAATTAAAAACAAAATTCTTCGTGGAAACTTTACGATGCTCAGACAATCGTTGTTCGAGCAAACTTAACACATTTCGAAGCCGCCATCTTGGATCGAGAAACACAATGTTACACGAATTTTTGTCTCGAAAGCGCGTAGGATTTCGGGGGTACGTCTATTGACCAAAAATTATTGCAATTGACCCCCCTAACCGAAAATAATTTTTTCAGAACGATTTGAATATTTACAGAAAGTTAACACGTCGACTGTCTGGTTTCTCATCAGCGTATCTAATAGCACGGTGATATGACCCATATAAGGATCATGGACAGTGACCGTGTTAAACTTAAATGTATCGTGTCCGAAAAGAGTTCGAAAATTTGTTACACGAAACCCACGACGATAAATAGTTCTAAAGACGATTAAATCTACTAGAATCGTCTGAAACGGTGGATTGCTTTATCGAAATCGACGTTGTCGCGTCGTATTTGACCGATTTACTGTTCGCAGACTCCATTGATCGTGACGCTGAGCCTGGTATCGGGCGCGCAGCTGAAGCTGCTGCCGTACGCGTACCTGGCGAGCCCGTTTCCGGTGTACCATCAGTACCAGAACACGAGGACGGGCGAGCACGCTTACAGTTACGCCGGTGGCCCGTCGGCCAAGGAGGAGATCAAAGACGCCGACGGTGTGACCCGGGGCTCATACAGCTACGTGGACGCGAACGGGATCCTCCAATCTGTGTTCTACGTCGCGGACGAGAACGGCTTCCGCGTCGCGGCGACGGACCTGCCCTCCGATGGCAATCTGAATCTCGAGGCGAGCCACGTCCTCCTCGCCAGGAGCGTGGACGCAAATCGCGAGAGCTCCAGTCGCAGGAAACGCAGCGTCTCGGATTCCCCAGCCAGGTCTAACCAGGACGAGAAGCTCGAACGCGGTGTCACCGTGGACGCTCTGCCACTGATCCCGTCGTCGAACGTGTTCCTCGCCGGCGGCGTACCACTGGCTAGCTCCAGCCAGAGTCAAGTCCAGATCCACAGGAACGCGCAGATCCAGCTGCCGACCAACCTGGCGATCCAGGACCAGCAGATCAACGTCCTGAAGTCGGTCCCCGTCCTCACCACTCTGCCCTCCTATCACGAGAACCGCATCGAGCTGCACAAACAGCTGGGCATAGAGGGTCTCAGGCTGAAGGACGCGGTGAAGATCGACCAGGAGCCGGCTACGATCGTCCAGTCTCCTGGAGCCATTCCCTTGGTCCCTGTCCTCGCTAAGCAAGTCCCGATCCTCTCCAACCTGGTACCAGCGTCGCTGGGATCAGCTTCGGTGACCACCTCCGTCTCCAGCCACGGTATCGATCAGATCCATCCGTCCAAGGTCCTCCAGGAGTCTCTGATCATCCCCAGCGTCCTCGCCAAGGAAGCAGCGCCCGTGGCTGTCGAGAAGAAAACAGTAGTGGCGCCCGTTGCCGTGAAGGAGGCCCTACCGATCGTCAGGGAAGCTGTGCCAGTCAGTTTGGGCACAGCCACCTCGTCCGCATCGATCACCAGCTACGGGGTCAGTCAAATCCACGGGGACTCCAGGGTGAACGTCGAGCCAACGCTCCTAGTCAAAGCTACCCCTATCGCCCATCTGCAACCGCTGCTCCATTATCCGTTGTATCTTCATTAAGGGTGCATGGTTAACCGGAGGGGGGCAGAGGCACGGACACGTTTCATGGGACACGGTATACGCGAGACGGACAGCAAAGACGAGACGTCTGCGACCTCCGACTCTGATACAGGGTTGCGCTGGCTTTCGGGAAATCCTTGGGGAGGATCGTCTGCACTTGCGAACGGTCGGCGAGAGTTTCGACGAATCCGATCGAGGACACGGTCGATCGATAGCTCGCCCGCCATTCGGGAGCGTCGTTCCTCGCACTTCATCGCCCCTTCATTTCTAGCATTCGGAATCGTTCGACGGTCGATCTTGTATTTAAATTATCGTTCATGTTTCACTCGAAAATAAAAACGACTTGTGTGTGGTATATTCTTGTTGATACATCGATCCTTCCCCGCTGTTTCACCCTCGATGGACCTGAGCCATTTTGATCCGTCATTTTTATATCAATTTTTATATAATTTTTTTAACGATCGTATCGTATGCTGCTTATGGAGAGGAAGAAATTGGCAGGAGAGACCATCGCATTTGTTCCTATGGAAAATGAAGAGTATTATAGTATTTATTTATTTTAAACTTGTACCGAAAATAGTCCTACTGGTTGCACAATATAATATAGCAACGCATAAAATATAAGCAAGACGATTCATAAGAATTTCACAATAGTTCGAGTAAAGACACTCTCGTGCGGAAACCTTGCGTTTGTATCCGTTAAGCGCGTAAATCAACGCCCATAGGCGTTCTACGCACGCGGACGATTGATCCCGTTTAACCCATGAACTTATGCTCGAACCCACCGCTTAAAATAGTACTCGAGAAGACAATCTCAACGCCAGACTTCGTTAATGAGAATTTCATACCCTCGAAATTATCCGAATGATCGTCGATTTCGTATTACGGAGGATCACGAGCCGGCGTAATATCGTGAGAGGGAGGATGATCGATGACGACGGTGTTAATTGTTCCTACTTGTTCGTGAAATTGGTAGGAGGTACTGGAACACTGTCCAATCTGAAATTGAATCGAATATCGTAGTACGTACATAAGTCACTTCACTGTTCGTGTATTTATTAATTTATTGCCGTAAAGAATGTTTCGATTCTCGTTATTTATTTCAATTTTCCATATACGGGGGTGTACAAGATACGTTACAAGCTGTTTTCTAAGCAGCGAAGATATTCATCCCCCCAATGCGGTGGTGTCCCTATCGAAACCATAAAAAAAAATGCATTCTTCGATTCCAATATCTTCCTCGATATATAGAATATATTTACACGCCGAGATTTTCGACCTTCCATCGACCCATTTTATTTCCTGGCACCCTTTGATACAGCGCTGTCTTTATTGCCTGGTCGCCCACAATTTTGCCCGCGAAAGGAATTCCGTTCCATTTGCATATTCCGTCGCACGCGTCCTCTTATCGGAATTATTATCGAGCCGAGCTGTTCGACATGGGGGGGGGGTAGGGAACAGAGAAAACGGTGATTTCCTTCGAGACGAGCCTGTGTCGCGTATTCGGTGTCGTTGACCCGATAGCAAAACGGTCCCGGAAGCGGGAAAAATCGGCAAAATTATTGCGTGCCGCGGACAACCTGCGTGACTATCGCATTCGTTCGACGATATCACGTCTCACTCATTCGCTTTCGGCATATCGAAGCAGGAAGAATTTCCATCGGGTGAAAGGGAGGGAGGAAGGGGATCGAATGGTCTCCCGGAACGTTTGTCACGGTCCCGGCGTGGGAATTGCCGTGGAACCCTTGACCTTGAACACCATTCCCATCGCCATTATCCGGGATATATTACGGCATTAACCCTAGGAAGACCAACGGGGACCGTGTCGACCACGCCAATCACAAATGCTTAAAAAGTCTAATCCTCACGCCGCGTAAAACATTTGCGAAAAATTATTTATCGCCTCTCCGAAACACGACTTTAACGAATATCGTGATTTATTCATTGTATATCAATGTTCAAGTACTTCATATATACTTGGAAATTTACTGCACCTTAATTTTTACAAATCTTGTTTGTTATTAAATTGTTTTCAGTAATATCGTTCAGACTTTTTACAGAGTTTTCAACGTGTTTTCCGGTATGCATGATCACGTTGGGATATTGTAAAATTTTCCGAAGCCGTTTGACGATCGTGTTCGGTCAATTGTTCCACGATCGTTTGCACGTACACCCTGCTATCCGTTTTATGGTGAATAAACTTAACATCGCATTTACCACGGTAGCCTATTGCTGCCCACGCCATAACACCGCCTCCGCTCATTTGTCTCTTCCACCATTCGTGTTAAATCTCCGAGGGTGGGTTTCGCCCCTTTGAACCGAATACACGCGACTTAGTTTATCGAATATTACGATACGCTGAGAATCACATGAGAGTCCAAATTCCGAAAATTACTAGTTCATAAATTCAATGCACGAATAGAATTTTTCAAAGCCGATAAAATCGAATAAAAAAATATCGCAGAGGGTTCTTGCGCGCGTCTGTTGCCTATTGCAAGTAAAAATCTCCCAAAAAAGTCACGCTTTCGATACGAGAAAATTAGACTGTTATTTCTGCGGATGGATTTCCATTAGCAGAAACGAGGAAATTACACGCGACACAGGCCGCCGCAAAATATCAAAAATATCTTGGATCGCGAAGGGTTAAAGTACCGCACGCGAAGATCGCGTGTCCAATGAAACGTCGGATTAGTCTCGGCTCTCTGGGTCTTGGACATCTGCGCCGTTCTTGCCCCGATCCGCGATGAACTCGGAGGATTGCATCCTGAACTCGCGCCCGATGATCCTAGGATTCCTGGATCAGCGAGAAAAGATGCACAAGACGGAACAGGTCTTTAGCGATGCCTGGGGGAGAGTATACCTGGACCGTTCGCTTTATAACAGTATTAGGCACCATCCGGGGATACGAACTAGCATAAATTCTACGCCTTTACGACCAACTGACTTCAGACATGTTTGCTCGATCGTCGTTCAGTCGATATCAACGCCACTTTATTCTTAAAAATGATACTATATAGGGGGTTGGGAATATTTACGAAGATCAGATTTTTACAGGATACATAGTCGAAACTGACAAGCATAGTTTATTCATTAATATCTTTTGAAATACTAATTATACCAACATACAACAGTCATAGCTCGAAAATAATATTTTTTTATTTACTTTCATATGTAAAATCTAGGAATCCTTGGAATTCTCTATATAGAATCTGTTCCAACAATTGTTGTTATTTTCCCTCAGGCGCGACACGTCGACCGAATCGAACGTCAATTTTCACAAAGGCGGTCTCCCCGTGGCGATGCTAGACGCGAGGGAGGGGAAAAAAAAATGTCGGAATCCGGATCACCTTCCAACGCCGTCAAGTGCGGAGCGTCCGCGGGGCAGGGTCAAAGAACCCGATCCAGATGACTCGTAAGATTAGAAGCCGAGAAATATCGCGCTATCTCTTAATACGCGTCGAAGCTCGCGGTCGGCGCGCGGTTGTCCGCGTAAAGCACGCCCGCTCCCTTTTAACGCGAAAACCCGTTCCTCGGGGCTCTCTTCCTTCTGGCCCGTTGCGTGGGCGCGGGTGACAAACGACCCGTGGAAAGACGATGGAACGCGTCACAGACAATCTCGCCGTGGTTTCTTCATTATCGGGACCGGCTCCGGGGCCCCATTTCCATCGCGACGCGAAACCGGAATCGTATCCTAGAAAAACCGAGAGGCCGCGGACTCCTCGCGGTGCCTTACCGTCAATTAACAACGTGAATCCGATTAACGAACGCACTGGGAGGGGACGAGAAATTTCGCGTCGTTCCGTGGACACCGTCGTATTAGAAGGATGACAGGATATAAAGTGCTCGATCGAACTGTGGAAGGACCCCCAACCTCGGAATGGAAGCTCTGGGCACGATCCTGGGACAATATATGGCTCGGGGATGTCGGGAATGGAGCCTGGATGTCCACCAAAGCAACGATGCAAATTTTACTATTAATAAAGACAGTACTGTACGAGAGGATAGCAGGGAATAAAACGGTACTTCGGGGAACCGAGAATCCGAGAAGGGAGTGTGTAAGTTGTTCGTATATGGCACGATTGTTGGGGACAAGTTTGAATTTTTATTCGGGGATCTGGGCTTCAAACGATAGGTTTACAGGATTCGGATTCTAACAACGTGAAAAATATGTGCGAGTAATGCTCGCAAATCTAGCTTCGGTGAGCTAGAATTCCCTTTCCTATACGAAGAACACCTGAAACAGAATTTTAAAATTAAATTAGACGAATCTAAGACGTTTTCGTGAGAGACTCGAGCCATGTTAGAAGCTTGTATTGGAGTTTAGTGAAAATCTCAGGCCTTCAGAGCGATTTGAAGCTTTTGGTGGAGATCAAGAGCCACCGCAGGAATGAATCGTTACCGGGGCGATCTTCGTGGGTCATCGGGAAACAGTTCGTGAATCGTTGGAGCAGGTGAAAAAGGAGGAAAAAGCACGTCAAAGCGATCCTCGGTGGCGAGAACGAGCCTCCGGGCGTTCGTCCACCGCGAGACGCGGCGTCAAAGAGAAAAAGCCGATCTCTCGCCGGTCGGCGATTGATCTTAATTGATTGGCGCGCAGGATCCCGGCAGCCATGCGGTTTTATCGGGCAGCGTCCCGTGTTTAGGCCTCTCGTGGGAGGCAGGCCCGATAAAAGTTACCCCGGTGCGGTCGGCCAATCAGCAAATGGAATCGTTAGTTAGACCCCTGTAATCGTCGATCGGACGTTAGTTCTGCCTCGTAGTACACGCTCCTGGAACAATCGTGATTCACGATCGCGTTTCACCGGGTCGAGTCGTGGATTCGCGCTGTTTATCGCGGCCACGGACGTTCCTAATTAGCGTATTACACGGTTTCGCCCAAAAAGTTCTCCACCTGGAATTTAAACGAATTTTAGATACGAGATCGAGAGCTTGGCGACGCTCGCAGCCCTTTCGAACTCGACGCTAAAATTGCTCACGTTTTTCAAGATTTGATCGTGTTGCCTTTATGTATCGACTTTACAGCGTGGACTACGAATAATTAAGATCTTGCACTAGGGTGGAATCTTTATGCAACTACATATTTTTTATTAATGAAATTAATATTATGGAATCTTTGTAGAGGGTTGTCTCAACCCCTAAATATAGTAATTCGTATCTTACTTTAAGATTTTTGAGAATAAAAATAAATGCTGTGAAATTGTTCGATCGATGAACGAAAATATAATAATCGTAACGAAAATCTGTGTCGAAATAATCGTGACGAAGAATAATAAGTTTTACTCCAAGATTTCAACTTTAGCCGAAGTTTAGTTTCCAAAATTCTCTATAATTTTCGCAAAATCGAGTCTCTGTTGAATTTTAGCGGGAAGTTCCGTGATTTTGACCGAAAGTTGGTGGGTTTTGCCCATCGCGAGGAGGGTAGGCGACAAGCTGGATGGACGAGCCGACCGACCGTCTGATCGATTTGTATTCAATGGCCGTGTCCGCGGAATCGAAATCGACGATGTCCCGGCAGCGGACACGGGAAACGGAGCCGCAAGAAATATTCGTGGCTCCGTAAAAGGAGACCCGTTGCTCCCTGGATTCTTCCGACGAATGATGTTGCATGCATGCGTGGATCCTGCCGGGATCGCAGGCAGGATGCTCCGCTGTTCGAAGACTTTAGAAACGTCGATGCGTCCAGGCTTCTACAAACGACTCTGAGTTACCCATATCTTGAATATGCATCACCGGTGCACAAACTAAACAGAAACGAAAGAAAAAAGGGTCGTAAACACTGTTCTGGTATCTGTTTTTTATAATTCTCACTACTTTTTCCTGCCTTTCTCAAGTCTGGACAATGTTCGAGCGCAAAGAAATTAACATTGCATCGAACTATTTTCTCGCTATTCTTCTTATCGTTACGTCGAATCAATTCTGACTGAAATACTTAACGTAAAAGACCCCACGGGACTCGTGAATCTATTTTGAAACAAAATGTCCGCCTTGCCTTTCTCAAGTCTGGAAAATATTCGAGCGCAAAGAAATTAACATTGCATCGAACCCCCAAAGATTAGACTCGTTCTCGAACTATATTCGAATCCGAAGGTCCGTGGAAACCGCAATGGTTTATGTAACAAGGTTTAAAATATAGTTGGTGAATAATTTTGGTCGGTTAATTTCGAGCGTCAAAGCTTGTTCCAATTTAAGCGACGGTGTCCGAGCGAGGCAACCCATATCCTACATAAATAAACAGGATTTTGTTCGGCGAAGTCGAGCATGGCGATCGACAGAAACTGCAGCTCGCGATTGCCTCCGGGATCGACAATAATACCGTCCAATTACATTAAAGACACGCGCCACCGCTATTCCCGGGCCGGGGCGAACGCAATTCTCTCGTTCAACGTTCCTTTTCTGCTCTTTTTTCCCCCCCTTTTTTCACCTTTTGCTTTCCTCTTTTTTCCTTCACCGCGAGGCGAACGACGCCACTCGTCCTTACGTCACGGCCCGTTATTTACGTCGAGCTTTTTACGAGGTCTGCTCGTAATTCTCGCGCTGCGAATTTTTTCTTTTTACGACGCCAGGCCGCCACGTCGAACCGATTCGGCGAACAGATCGCCACTGCATCCGATGCAACCTCTCCTCTCTATACAGTACGGCGCAAAAGTTTCGCCGCCATTTTCCACGCGAATCAAGTCTCCATCGATCATTGTATTATTCAGATTACATTTCAATCACTGCAACACTATTTTTTTAAAACAATAATCGACGTGTTTCGAGACTCTTGAGAATGTTCGGAATATACGAAAATGTTCGAAACATCCGAGAATCGTAACATTTGTCTCCATTATTGGATATTTATTGATGTGTTTGTGTTCGCCATTTTTATCCAACTGGGACAGAAAATATAGGCTAATTTATAAAAATTTTAGCTACGAAGCTTCAAACGAGTGAAGAGTTTGTCGAGCGACTCTGACTCTGTAATTTGTAAAGAGATTCTGTGGATCGAGAGTTTGATATGAACCTCCAGAGCACCCTGTATGCATAGATCGAGGAAGAGGGAGGGTGACCGAAGAAAAAATATTACTAAAAGGCATGCAGCCTCGGGATCATTTCTGGAGGAAAGTTTTACGAGGGACACGCACACCGATATCGCAATAAAGACGTCCGTGTGACCTTTGTAAGCTCGTAATTTCCGAAAGCCGCTTAGGATAGCCAGAAGGACAATTACTTTGAAACTCCGACTAATTGAGATCGCGTTGGCTACACTCGCTACCGAAACGATCTACGAACGGCTGGATCTCGGCTGCCTCGTCGAAATTCTGCGCGAAGTTTGTTGAAATTACCAGTAAACTTCTTTATTACGATAATAAATATATACAGAAGAGTTTAGAAATTAGGAATCTGTGTTCGTGACTAGATTTCTTACTCCCAGCCTGCAACTGTATCTATTTCCTATTGCATCCATTTAAGTAAAATTCTTTTAGATTCTGTTCTTGACACTATTCAAAAATCTAATCCTGGATTTTAACAAAAGTGTCTGACTTCCTCATTGAATGTCAGAATAACGCTTTGTATCCAGGTTGATAAATTTACGACGATCGTAAATAGGAAGACTGTTTTATGAGAACCAGGGTTAAAATTCATAGTCGCACCAACTATTCTAGCCTAACGAAGGATATGTTTAGCATATTATTTGATACAACGGAACGTTAAGTAAATATAATCCTAAGAGAAAGAAGGAAATATTTAATCGTTGCCAATTAGAAATAAATTCCAAAAGGCTACGTTTATCTATAAAAGTCGTTTTTAATCGTGAGCGCTAGCCTTCGCGGGAGTTTGTTGCAACGACTGTGAATTTTAACTGTTTGGAAATGCGTCTAGGACTGGGGTCGAGCGAAACAGGAAAACCATAAAATTGTTGCTGCGTGGGAGCAACAACCGACAACCTGTTCGCCGATTTTGTATCGTCGCTTCTATCCGTTCGAAGATAGAAATGGCGGAGGGAAAGGTTGAACGGTGTAACAAGGTCTGTCCTCCCGCGAGCCGCGTTTCTCATAACTATAAACACCATATCGACGAATACAACATCGACGAAAGCAACGTAGACGGTGACAACATCGTCGATATCGACGATAAACATTGACAAGAGCATCGAAAACGATAAGATCGACGGGGACAGCGTGGTCAAACGGAGATGGACGAGGATCGATAGTGTTGGCTCGAATGGGAAACGTATCGATAGTATCGAAAGACGTCTCGGTGCCATCGCTAGTCGCCATCGAGTTCGGTCCTTTCAGTTGGCGCGCGGTATGCGGCTGCACCGTGTTAGGTACGCGACTCAACGACAACCATTTAATGCGCGGAGCGGTGTTTAGTGCCAATGTCAAAACCAACGCGCGCCGCCCACGTGGCCGTTCAGACACGCGGTGAAAAATCCTCGTCGGCGACTTGTTGCGCTGCCGTCGAGGCCGTGAGTAATAACGATGGAATTGATGAACTCTTTACGCTCCCCGCTTGGCCCGCGTAGTCGTAAATCTTTAAAACGTCGCGCGAACATCCCCCGAGTTCCGGCCTCTCGCTCACCATGGGTTAACAGACTTATTTTTCCTCCAATTCCGAGCTCATACTTATACCTCCATACCCAGCACTTTTATTCGTTTAATAATTATTTTAACATTTTCGAGACGCTCAGAGGTGATCGATTCTAACATTCCGGGGGTCTAACGAACACCTAAAACTGATATTTTTAACGAAACTAAAATCACCGTCATAGAGACTCAACATTGCAAAAACAGTACACATATCTTAATTTACATATTTATGTTATTTAACATCGACACTACATACGTATCTTGTCCAGTTCATATTTTTGTCTTGGTTTAATAACATTTTAGTCTTGGCTTTGCTTGCAGAACACACTGCTGAAATGTGTACGAAAAGATGCGAAACACTTTGTGTTAAAATTGTCAGCCAACAGAGAAGGGTTGTTTTCACAGAAAGCCTGGAAATTGTATAAATAAAAATTCTTCGAACGACACTGTTTGAAATTATATTGTGTATCTGAGTTATTTCTTTGAACATTTCCATGTAGATCGTGAAGCAAAGCGAAGTTAAAAAGCGCCCCGATTCGAATTCTTTCGCGCGTAAACCAGAGTTGCTTTTACGACCCTCGAATGACGCAACGACAATGACAGCGCGAACGATACTGCGACACTTTTAGATCCACCTCGAAGAAGGGAAGCGGAGATGAATTTTAGATAACGCGCGCGTCCGTTGGAGCGTGACGCGAACGGAACACGTAATAGATACGCGATAACGTACAAGGTGTTTCTGAAACAACCGTACAAACAGTCAAAAATATCAACAATAGAATAGAAATTGCAGGTACGAGTATATGGCAACCTGTTGCAAAGAAGGCAAACTTGGTCCAAAATGGGACCGATACTAAGGGGGGAAAAATTCTTATTGCAATGTTGAAAACTTAAGTCTACTTCTGAAAATTAATATCGAGCTTGAGTGTACCAAAATGGCGTCAAAAAAAAACTGTTGGAGCCTCATCGAACGAATCCTGAAAGAAAATTCGTATTAAAATAGGGAAATATGCGGCGTAACAATCTCGCGGAATAATATTGCGCGCGAGCGAGCTTATGTTCGAAGCGATGGTGTCGGAGATAGGAGAGGCGAGACGAGTTTTGGAAAAATGGCGGTCGAAAATGGTACCAATGGCACGAGCAAAAGAAGCGGGAGGAAGACAAAACAACGATAACATCCGCGGGGTGGAAGCGCGGCGGAATGCGCGAGAGATCGACGGCTCGTACCGGGGCCAATAAACATTGATTTATCGGCCTGGAAATCGAACTCGGGGTGATTTGTGATCCTGGGCAGTTCTGGCCGCGCACCGAGGGCCTCGTTGCGCCCCATAGGGCCCCGTAGGGCCCCGATAGGTGGTTGCCTGGTGGGGACGCGGCGTAAGTGCACCTCTCGTCGAGCATATCCACGGGGTCCTATATAAGAGGATGCCTCCAAGAGCTCACACTCTCATAACCGTTAGCTGAGCCTTACTGGGATTATCCGGCAGCCGGTAGGAAAAAGTTGCGAAAACGACGCAAAGATCCACGACCCACGGTTGTCCAACGTTTCACCGAACATGATACTCGTGAGTGATTACGCTTTTACTTTCGTTCCTCTCGCCTCGAATTTCTCTGAGCCTGGATGGACCGTAAGAATCGGGTCTTCCTCGCGTGCGACGTACAGGGTGTCTCGGGTTACGCGCGAAAACGAGCAATAAATTGTAAAATTGTGATAGCCATGGCTGTAGAGGCGAACAACTTCCCGTGATCTGGTTTAAGAATATTTTTTTGAATCAGGGAAGTTAAGATATTTTATATTATAAACAAACTATAGATAGTTTTATTTTATCATACGATGTTTTGGATTTTTTTTTTCTGAATATAGTCTCCGATTTTAGATTTTTACTATCTTAGTTAACGTTAGGGTTTATTTAAATATAATTCTCAGTAAATTTTTTTTATGATTATTATTCTATTTAATTTGTCTTTTTAAGGCTTCAAACAATGAAAGAAAAATATCTTTTTTAAAGTTAGCATTGGGATCATCTACAAGTTAATAAAATTCAGAAATAAGTATGATGGAGATTGGGGGAACATATGCCCAAAACCTGGTTACATTACCATCGTTTTTTAGCACATTTTCGCGGCCATGCTTGTGCAAGTTTCCCGTAAAGTAACGAGACTATCGTTCCATCGGCCATGAATTGATTTTAAGCGGGTCTGTGCGCGGAATCTTAAGGGTGAACCTTGAATATGAATGGGGTGAATTTGTAATCTTAAGGTAGTTTATGGCAGGGGACGCGCGTGTAAGGTACGCTCTTTTAGCGACGGAGTGGAAATAAGGGAAGCTTTACCCGGCCTCGTCGCGGGTGTCATCTAATTTCCAAGTTTTACGAACCAGCTCGCTGGATGCAATATCAATTAGTCCACCCAGAATCGGCCTGCGAACGCATTTTTTAACAAAATTATCAATTTTCACTGTTGCAACCTTCACGTTTGATCAACAGAAATTTTTTCATGGAATATCATCTTATTTCAATCTATTTACACAGGTTGACCATGCTGATCTTCCATCTAATTAATAATTTTCTATTTCAGTTTCAATAGCTATAATTTATCTCGATGAAAAAATAGAAGACACATTCTTTATTGGGGAACATGTCTATGTAAAATTCGATCCAAATAAAATTCCCTTCACCGAGATAATTATAATAATAGTTATTGTAGAGGGAAATAATTCAGAATGTGCCTCTGTTTCAGAGAATCCTGTTTGGTTGTTTTCTCGGGCAAAGCCTCGCTGCACCGATCGCCAACGTGTGGTTGAGTCCCTTGGGGTCTTTAACACCGTTAAGACAATTTCACATACAAGACGGATCCGGGGGATATCATTATTCCTTCACTGGACCGCATCACGCTAAGTCGGAATCCAGCTTGAACGGAATCACGCAAGGTGGTATGTCGTCGCAAAAATTCAGTTCAACGTCCACGAATTCATTAAGCTACAAAGCTACGTTACTTGTTTCCTCAACTTTTAAATTTTTAATTAAAAATATCATTTTTTGGGGGATAGAATGAAGCAAACTCTGAAAAAACTGTTTTTAGCAATTATTATATTAAATTTTGTTCTTCCAATTTAGAGAATGATACTAAATCTTGATTAATATTGTTCACCTGGTTTTTGGGAATAATTCGAAAGCTTCGTATTTCCCGTCTGTGGTCGCTAAAAAGTCGTGCCTGAAAATCGAAAGAAAACGTTAGACCACGAAGAGTGTCAGGTTCATTCGCGAGGGGCATTTCTTCCTGATGACTCTTGAAAGCATGAATGACACACATTCCTTTCCTGCACGTTACGGAGACAGACGTCGCGTCCTACGTTCGCGAACGATTACCTCAGGAACGATGATCGATGTGACGCAACAACCGCCCATGCAACAGATCCATCTTCCATTCTTTTAAACAATGCATGCCTCTGCGTTCACGCATCCTTCTAGCCCATTGAGTACCGTTAACCATATATGCAAATATCTTGTATCTACATACGCTCGTCAGAGTCGTTACGACAACCCATTAGCATTTCATTCGTCGCCTCCAGGAGGAAGAATCGGGAAAACACGAAGAAAAGACCGACGATTCTAATTTTAAACCCAACCACGTATCTAGAAATTAGCAACAATAATTCAAATATATGCTTTGGGCTCAATCTCACGCCGCTGTAAAAATTAATACCACTAACTTTGAGAATAGAAAAGAATTTATAGTTCCAAGATCCAAATACAGTGGAAATCTTGAACCACAAATATTTTAATTTTTAATTATAGTGTGACTTTGGACTAAAATATTCATCGATTTCTCTATTTTGTTTGCCCTTAGGTTACTCCTACATCGACGCGAACGGAATTCTGCAAACGGTGAGTTACACAGCGGACGATGAGAATGGGTTCCGAGTGAGCGCCAGCAACTTGCCCCAACCGCCCAAGAACGATCTCCAAACGATCCAGGACACGCCGGAAGTGGCGTTGGCGAAGAAGAATCACCTAGAGGAGCTGCAGAAGTCCCAACTGAGGGACCAGTCCAACTATCAATCGAACATTCTGTCTTACAAAATCCTGCCCTCCTATTTCAGCTTCGCCCAGCTGCGAAAGGACGACGAGAAGAACCTGGCTGTCAGAGAAATTGCAGTAAGATATAATAATTCCATTCACGCGTTTTTTCGTTACAAAAATTGAGAGGCCCAGTCGATACAGTAGCTTCTAGTTTCACACTATAAAGATATCGCTACTGTCCGGTTTTAGGGGAACTCCACCTGTATTTTCCAATCAGAAATCCCCAATTTTCCCTGATAGAAAATAGTCCAAAGGCTTGGTGAGCCACTAAAACGATGAAATTCTTCGACAGACGGCCAAGAATCCGTTCCTGCTCACCAGATCGGAGGCGGAGAAGATCGAGGTGCCTAAACCGGACGCCAGCCTCTCGAAGATATCCCAGAGCCCGGCGTTATCGCCTCAGCTGTCGTCTCAAGCGTCAAGTCAAACAGACCAGCAGGAAAACGAGGGACTGGCCGGGAACTCGTTGCAAATAGGGAACCTGGTGTCCCTGGGCAGCGTTCAGAGGCCAACAACCGTCCCTGGATCCTACGTGCTTCCGGTTGTGCCATATAGGCTGCTGCACAGCGCTCTACATCACACTCAGGATTCGCTGGGCCGATACGATTACACCTACGCCGGGGATTCCAGCGCGAAAACAGAATCCAGGTCTCTGGACGGGACGACGAGAGGCGCTTACAGTTACATCGATCCCAACGGCGTGTTGCAACAGGTCCATTACGTGGCGGACCACAACGGATTCAGGGTCCTGGCCACCAATCTACCGGAAGCCAAGTAATTCCAATCCCCCTCCTTCCATCTAGAAATCTTGCTCAGGAATTTCGGGTCGCCTTCCGGGGTGGGAAAAGGTTACGCCGGGTTGGAGAGAAAATCCTCGTGAAACTTCCCTTCGTCGATAGTGGACTGTTTTCTTTATCGAAACGTCTCTAAACAAGTTGAATTTTTATATGCATTATACTGCTATAGAATTTTTAAAATATTAGAAATCATTTGCTTGGGCCGCTTTAGTAATCGTAGACAAATATCTTGAAATTCGAAAGAGACTCCAACCACGATCGAATATATCAAAATTGAGAAAATAATGACTGTGGGGGTACTCGTTCATTATCATCGAATTACCAATATATAAATTCCCCCGCAGTCGTTTATTTTTCTATCTGATAAAGAAGATTGAGTTGATAGACTCGACTGGAAATACAGTCAGGAGGTACATTTATTTTAACACTATCGAACAAAAAATCAGTCCATCGACTAATTTTTCGATCAAACTCCAATCACAATCGAACGAAGACTTTCTCTCCGATCATTCTTCGGGCATTTTGTACTTGGAAACGCGCACACGGGGAGAGTTTCTTGTCGAGAATATTTTCACCCCCGGGAGGGAGGAGGTAAATTGCGCGAAATAACAAAATTTTCTTTCAAGGAAACTTTCGCAATTTAGTGATAGTAATTTCGTTTTACATCGAGGCGGAGAGATGGATGTAAAACCGTGGGAGGAAACTTTTTTGCGTCAGAGTAGACGGGAACCTGTTTCCTCCGTGTCGCTTTTCGAGCGAGCGTACGCGATCGAAACGATCTCGATCGCATTTCGTACGATCGCGTTTCTTTGCCAGGTGGTGCTTGGCCGGTGGGGGGTAATCAAACTTTCCGAATGCTTTTCGAGTTCGTTCTGCGCTTGGCCCCCCCCCCCCTCCCCCCGTCGACGATCGACAAAGAACGAACTTAATTCGCATTCGCTTCGCCCTTTCGATTGTAACGCGTCAGCCTGAATAAATTATTTCGATCCACTGAAACGAGTACTCATTCTCCTCTGTTTTTTTAACATATTGGCAATATGAAGCGTGTTTAATAGTCCGATAATTTGATAAACCTTCGGGGAGGAAAACAAAATCTGGGTGCATTGTTTGACCAACTGCGATTGGGGCAAACTTTATACTGTGAAGTTAATTTTGTGTCACGGGGCTTGAAACATTAATTTGAAGGTTCGTCTATTAAATTGTGATTTTTCGTTGTAGATTTTAGGACCAAAAGAAAATCTTTGACGCGTTAGAATCTACAAAAGAACAGATTTTTTCGTCTCAAAGAAAAAAAGAAGAGGGGATAAACTGGCCCATTGGATTGGGGATAGTTCGTGCAATGAATATTCCTGGTCTCATGGAAAACTTTATCTTTAACGCTTGAATTTGCCACTTTAAGGCGCTTTAAATATATGATATTGAGCACAGATCAAATCTAGACTAATTCGTCAAATTAAAAATATTTACGCGTTGTTCCGTAGTTGGGTGAGGTTTCTTTTAATTTTTATTCGAACTTTCGACGATTATAAATATACAAAGCTACGACGGTTTGGTCTGAGCACGGGTTATAGGGTCACGATAGCGGAGTGTCGCGATAAGAGGGTCACGTCGTGATCTTTGGTTGTTTGACGGATCTCTGGCGACGGGAGAATCATCGATCGAGGCGCATCCACGAGCGATCCGACAGTGCGATCACGTCGTGGCCGTGGAAATGCCGGAGAACGACGATCGAACACGCGACCAACCGGTCGACAGGCTTCCGCGATACATCCTGCTGCTGCTGGGTGAGATTCCTGGAAGCCAGAGATGGGCACAACTTTTTACGATCGACGAACGATGACTGAAAACACTCCACGTCGATTAATTCCCATCCTTCGTTCGATTTAACCGTTACTCCGATAAGCTTCTACATGTTCGACGCGAGACCTAACAGATCGTCTAATTCAGACGACAATTTTTATCTATTATAAGATACGACATGTAAAAATTTGACAATCCTTGCCCGTCTCTGGCTCTTCGATTTCTTCTTGGAACCGTGGAATCGTTTCGAGACCAAGTGTATAATTGTTGACAGTGATTTCGTGAGATTGAGTGTCTTTTTGGAAGCGGTGGAAGCCACGAGGTTTTTACAAATCATTGTCGATTGTATGTTGCATTAATATTTATGAATTCTTGGTAAACGAGTTTCCCTTAAATGTTCTTAAATACTCCCTTGTGCCTTGCTGTTGATGGTTTGTATATTTGTGTTTCTTTTTACGCAACGAATACGAAATAAAGGAACAGGGAAAAAAGGAAAAAAGATGATTTTAAATTGTGATATTGATGCTTTTCGTGTAATTTCCTGCGAATCAATTAATTTACATTTACCTAAAGGGAACTAGAACGCGTTAAAAGACCGTGTGAAAGTAAATAGTGTCTGTTGCAAGGATCAGTGTAAAAAATATCGTGTAAAAGGAGACCCAGGTATACACGGAAGCTCTTGCAACCTACAAGGGTGGCAACCACCGCTAGACAGGGTTAAAACGACACAAATGCCGAAGGGAGAAAGAAAGATCAGGTTAATCTTATAAAATTGTCCACTACTGATGCAACATGATAACTAACAAGCACACTGAACTATAAATATTCGGGAGTAACGCACGGATAAAATTTAATTCTGGGATTTATTTTAAAAAATTAACTCTGTTGGTGCATCGTGGACGATTGGTCCAGTTATCTTGACAGATATTTTATATAATATTTTGCATACGAAAACCTGTGTAGCCACCCTTTCCGCGTTTTCGATCGGCACGTATCTCGCATGGGGCTCGTCAGCGTTGCCGATTCTAAATAAAATTGACCGGTTGGCGGTGACCGAACAGGAATCGTCCTGGATCTGCGCCTCGGTGCCCTTAGGCGCCATAGTTGGCAGCCTGCCAGCGAGGATAATCGCGGACAAGATCGGTCGGAAGAAGAGCATTCTGCTAAACAGCCTGGTGTTATCGTTATGCTGGTTCGTTATCGGGTTTGCACGGAGCAAACTATGGTGGGTAGTGTATCTTTACTACCCTCTGCAAATATTAACGTTCGTTGTTCCGTCTGCTCGGCAGATACCGCTGCGGGAAACTCTGCAAGATTTAGTCGACGGAACATCTGATTAGATGTTCCAACGTGTTCCTTATTTTTATTTCACTGTAGACAACCGTCGTTATTCGATCTACGAAAAATATTAGTGGAAACATCTTCGCTAGTATTATCGTTGACAAGTAGTTATACCATTAGAACAAATCAATTTTAACAATATAGAAATTATAATTACGAAGAATTTGGAACTTATCTCTGTGTATGGTTATTTCCAATTTTGAGCCACTGGATGATTGTTTTTCCTCGGTGCTGAATTTGTTAGATCTTCTAAAATATAAATAAAAGGGAATTACACAGTGATTTGAACTGGATGCATCTAAATTTGTCGTGGATGATCTCCCAATGGATGAACTAAAATCGCAGAAAAATTATATTAAATGTGAAAAACGAAGGGTTGGCGAAATTCTGAGAATAGAGGATGCTTTACTGAAAATAAATATTGATCTTCAAGGATATTTCTGTCTCGCGTCGTGGCCGGTGCAGCTTGCGGTGCGTCCTCCATCGTGGTTCCTATATATATTTCCGAAATTGCGGACGATAGCATCAGGGAATCCCTGTGGACGATTTTTCAGTTCCAGATCGCTCTGGGGGTTCTGTTCGCGTACGTAACAGGTGAGCAATTATTTAACGAAGACGAATAAACGTTAACTTTATAGTCAGGTAATATAGAAATTTGTTATAAGATAAACTATCATCCTTCTTTAAATTATTCTTAGCTATATTATCCACACAATCCTGTTGTCGATATTAAATTTCAATTTATAAAGATAATACGAAATTCTAAATTATTCTATTAATTTATACACGAGTTAAGGGTGCATTCCTTTTCTTTTGGTTCAAAGGATAAATATATAGTGTCTAGAATATTTTTGATATTATAACAGATGTTGATTCTGCTTGAATAGCCATTTTTTAGATGGCCACTCGATCTAATCCGTTGAAAATAATTAAGGGACCTCGAATGCACAGGTTTCAGCGACAGTTTTCTCGTGATCGCCCTTCTATGTGCTTTGGTACCCGGAGTTCTGTCGATCGCGACCTACCCGATCCCTGAATCCCCGGTTTGGTTGACCTCGAAGGGTCGTCGAAGAGAGGCTGACGAGATCGCGAAACGTTTCGGTGGTGGACAATGTCTGGACAAAGAAGACACCTGGAGAACAGGGACCGTTTTGGAGCTGAGAAACCACGCGTGGGCTACGATCATAGCTCTGGGTAAAAGAACGATAATATCGACAAGAATTTGAATTAATGGCAATGCTATATGGATTGTTATATTTTTCTAGGTTTGATGATTTTCCAGCAGCTGTCAGGAGTTAACGCCCTCGTGTTCTACGCGACGACGATATTCGAGCACGTGGGGTTCCCTTTGAGCTGGACAATTTCTGCCTTTATCGTGGGATTGACATACGTGATCGCTACGCTGCTTTCGACGACCATCGTCGATCGTATGGGGAGGAAACTTTCACTGTTTTTTGGCATGACCACCATGGCCATCTGCATGTTCGTCTTATCTGGATATTTCCGTCTTCAAGTAAGCATATTCCCTCTTTCTCACAGGGGGATCGATAAAATATTACATTCACAATGATGATGGGGCTCGACAGGGCCTGGAAATTATCTTTACAAAGTTTCAGAATAATCATTATATTTAGGAGACAATTTTTCAATTATTTTGATTACTCTCACTTTATGCCTGGAGAATACTCAAATATTCGACCAATGGCATCCAAATACTAAACTACTTGATTTAAACTAGTCAAATAGTTAGCAAACGATTAATTCCAACACTTAAATACTCGATACAAAAAATTTCCAGTTTTTTAAGCAGCGTAATTTTTTGTCTTTTTAGAAAACTCACGACGTATCGAGCTTCAGCTGGCTACCTTTTCTCTCTCTCGCGATCTTCTTCGCCGGCTACAGCGTCGGTTGCGGATCGATACCTTGGATCATCGTGGACAAGATTTTCCCAAACGACGTCAAATGGACGGCCATTTCCGCGAGCGTGACTTGCAACTGGATATCGGCGACTATCGCGACGAAATGTTACCACGACATGGTGGTTTTCATGGGAATGTCCTCGACGTTTGCCACTTTCGGAATGGTCAGCCTGATCGGTATCTTGTTCGTCGCCATTTTCGTACCGGAAACCGAGGGGAAAACCATCGAAGAGCTACAGAACGAGCTGCACGATTGCCATCGGCATCGCGTAACCTGTATTTAGAGCTCGTCGTTTGATCTTAGAAAATAATTAAATTAATAACAATCGAAGCAACTCGAATTTTTTAATTAAAAAAGTTTATACTGCAACGGAGTTGTAACATTGTAAATGAAAAGTAATTGTTGTAATATATTACTCCAAGCCGAAGTTAAATGATAATTTGATAACATTGAGGGTAGTGCTTGAATCGATCAATAAGGGAGCTAAATTAACGTAAAGTTTACGATACCGGCAAAGCCACGGGGAAGATATTATGTTTCAGACCTGAATTATGTTTCGAGAAAGCTTGGAAGCCGTGGGAACTTCCGTGGCTTAAAGGTTTCTGTAAATTATTGCGGTAGAATGTCGGTTTATTTCCAACCGAACGTAATTGGGTTCTGACTGCATTCGAAAATTTAATTAGACTATCTCACCCAAAGCTGCTTGTACCTGCAACGGGGAATTGTTGCAACTGGCTTCCGGGTATAATTGACTAATTGGATTTTGAGTAAACGAGCCCTGATGTTAATTATTGCAGAAAGTATTGTAGAATCAAGTAACCGAACTCGATGAAAAAATACGAAACTATTTAAAACAATGCAAATTCATACCCTGGAACTGAATAAATTTCCCAACAAATACACGCTGCTCAAAGAATATTTACAGGAATATAACGTAACAGTATAAGTTTAGTAGACCCAAAAATTCGAAAGAAATGAACTTGGGTCCATTCACTAAAAATCTTTTGGTAATTAAAATTATTTATCACTCAATAATCATCGTACAGCTTTCTACTTGGTATTATTGAACTGTATTTTGTATATATATGTTTTATACGTACCCCAGGACGAACTTCCGGCGGAATCCTGAAAACTGGCCCAAGGTAGACAAGAATGGCCCAACGGTCAACGATCATGGATTTTATTCGCATGTTTATTTCCATTCGTTCGATACGTATGCAGACGATATATCACATAATACAATGAACCGCGCACTGAATTCGATAGCTCGGTTTTGCGGACGTCCCTCTGCCCCCGACGAATCGCGGAATCTGCGTCCGACTTTCGATAATAAACGTTTTTGGAAAAAATCTGAATACACCCGTACAAAAATTCCCGACGAGTTCTTCGTTCGAATTGCATCGATATAACAATACTTATGTTCAACGTTTCGCGTCGCGCGCGCTACAGGGTGCCTCGTAAGTCGCGGTATCCCGAGTCAGAGATGGGCAAAATGTCCAAATACAAATTTCGAACAACGAGCAAACGACAAACGACCGTCCGTCCCTTGCTCGTTAAATAAAAATCGCAATTTCAATTATAGAATTAAACAAGTTCGATCGAACGAACGCCACGAATAAATTGCTGTACGTTAATCTCATTGGTTATTCATTATTCGAATAGAATTTTGTCCAATTCTCTGTCTCTGTCCGCCTCGACCAGCGCTGTTCGATTTTAGTTCTCGGAGCTTCCCCCACTCTGTCACCGTGCTGTCATTAAGGACGACGTTGTGTGCGCGCGCACCTCGTAGAAATATAATACGAATGGTGGGGGGGAGGACATGACAGCGCGAGTGGCTCCACCCGTGGACAGCACTGGTATCAACGAACTCGAAGTTTTCGTGGCTTTTGAAACGCCCTGTAACATACTGTAAACCCCCGTATAACGCATTGCTTGCACGTGGTTTCGTATATTCTATCTAGATCAGTGGTTTCCAAATTTTTGGAAAATTCCCCTTAGAAAAAAAAGAATCAAGTAGTTATTAAACCCCGATGATCAACGTGTTGATAGAATGTTTAAATTATTAACATTTTTCTTTCACACCCTCTCGCTTTCCCTCTTTAGAAAACACTGTTTTAGATATTTCATATTCCCCTCGTTTTGCACGAGGTCTGGGATTCTTGCGTTATACGGGGGTTTGTTGTACCTGGACGCAAAGATATCGTTCAAACGCTACAGGTGCGTGAACCGTGCACGTGCGCAGCCATTTTGCGCATCACGTGCTCGAGAATGATCACCCTCTGCAGGAACACGTTTTTTTCATTCGTAGGAGTGGATATTTTCGCGCCCAGTACACCGGGCAGCATTTATTTCTGCCGTTTGAGGGGAATACCCTCCCCTTTCTCCAATTGTCGCTTCGAAGTGGACGTGGGTCCATAGTCCTTTCCTATCCAATACAAATTTTATCGAAGGAGAAACTCGTTGGTCTCAAAACCGAACGCTACGATTGAAACTGAAAACGAATTCTGTTGATTTAAGAACGTCCGTAAGGGTTTCGTGGAGAAAAGAGGTTTGGAATCATTGGTTCGCGCGCGCATCTATGGCGCGCCGGTCCAGTGGCGCCATCTAGGACCACGGAGGACGAAGTGGACGAGTTTGGCAGGCTGTACTTCCCCCGAAAACGACAGAAATCAACGCCGGTACACGTTCTAGTGCCGCATTCGTGTCGCAGTGCGATCGTTTAACGCTATTATCACAAATAACCAACGAGGAACGGTAAAAAATCTACGGAAACAATGGGTGAACGCTCGGACCGGTGCTGAGAGGCCAGAGGGACCCCCATGCTCGGTAACCAACGGGTTTTAATTTTCAACAGTCGCGCGAACGGGTGGGTTTTTGCGTTTAACATAGCTGTGTACACATAGATACCGACACGTACGTACTTTATTGGGTTCTCGCGTCTCGCGCGAAGTCCGCTCGAAGGGTCACGAAGTTCAAACAGTCTTTAAACTCGCTGCAAGTTCGCGGAAAGTTTCACGATATTCTCTTCACTCTCGTCGGAAGGGAAGAGGGGGTTCGGGGGTGGTGGAGGGTCTGATCTGAAAGTAGCTCGAGAAACACACCGCGGAGAGGAGGGAAATGGGGAAAGGGGAAAACTTCGCGAATAAACGAAAGGATTTTGTGCATTTTGTGGCAATTGTTTAACTTCACCAGGCTCACTGGAGTATTATTAGAAGTTCCGTGTCGAGATCGACCGAACGTGGATCTCGAACGGCCGTCGTCGTCGCGTTACGATTAGTCTATTTATGTTTCCGTTTATTCCCGGACGCGATTCATTCGTGAAACGTAGTAAGACACCGATGAAGCTCGAATGTTTGTCACGAACCCCGCCTGGTCAGAGCGGAATCCTCTCTTTGTCGAAGTGGTCCTGGAGTCGTTGTCCAGGTGGCTGTTGCACCGGCTGTGCTCGGTTCCGCGGCACAGACGGCGCTAACACGAGCGCCGAGGAACACTTCAGAACGACTGGATCCTCACTTTCGAGGTCTTTGGATTGAAGGTGACGCGCTGCGCGCCACACCTGGCGCGCTACAGTCATCTCGACTCACTTTGCGAGTGCACCGTCGGCTCTGAACTTGGATCCGGGTCGGAGTCGTCGATCGACACCCCCTGCTGTGCCATCCGCATGGAGTAGCTGGGACTCCGGTCGTTTCTGGAAACGAGAAACACGGGGCCGTCAGTCGGTTCGGATCGTCCTAGGGTCCTTCGTTCGAATCCGAAACGCACACGACTCAGAGGAGAGTCGGTAGACCCGGAGGGGGGTTCGAATAGGTACCTACGGATTACTAAAACTGGCCGATCATCTTATTCTAGATATAGATCCGTCGGCGGGGGTCACTTCTGGGGCTCCTCTTGTTGGGCATCTGAATAGTAGGAGGTGGTTTCAGAAATAATTCTTGAGTCACTAGTGTCCACTGTCACAATATTTAGACTGTGTTTATATTGAGTAATCTCGAATTGTCAGTAATAATATTGTACACCCCAAGTCAAGTAGTTATTGACATCAACTTGGACTGCTTGAGGGGTTGAAGTACTGAAGGATTGGTCTATTAGTGACGTAACTTTAGTGATTTAGTGGGAAAACTACTGATAACACTGAATTGTCAGTGCTTATACTGCTTGAGGGGTTGAAGTACTGGAGGGTTGGACTATTAGTGACGTGAACTTGGTCTATTTGAAAAAATAAACTACTGGTAACATCGAATACCCCCAAGTCGAACGAGTTATGATTCGCAGGGTAGCTATTGACATCAACTTGGACTGTTTGAGGGGTTGAAGTACCGGAGGATTGGTTCATTAGTGACGTGAACTTAAGGATAAACTACCGATAACATCGATTTAAACTATACTCGAGGCCACGAAAGCCTTAAATCTCGATTTGAATTACTTTGAGGGTTGGAATACAGGAGGATAGGACTTCTGTCATCTACCAGGCCTGTTAGACTTCAAAGATTGGAATACCGGAGGATTGGACTACCCAGTGACATCGACTAGGTCTACCAGGGTGATTAGACAATTACTAACATCGATTAAGATCAGTTATATGATTGGACTATAACCAACAATGACCCAACAATTCCCAGTTTTAGAATTTTGATCATTCTCGACGCTGTTAGCAGTATGTGCTGAACCTTTTTATAACATTTCTTCTTTTCTTATTGTCCATCTACGCAGACGGTCCTTTTTGCAATAAATAACGAGGACTCCCGTCCCTGTTTAACGAATGCTCACCTGACTGTTAATTGACTTCCGTCGCTGCCGCGTCTAATACCGTTGCCCCGTCGCTTGCAGAAACATTTACAGATAATTCTTTTGAACGCGAACCGAAAGTCCTTGCTGAAGAGGGCGTAGATACAGGGGTTTATCGCGGAGTTGCAGTAGCCCAGCCAGAACAGCACGCTGAAGACGGTGGTATGAATACAGTTCGGACAAAAGGCGCGCACCAAGTACATCGTGAAGAATGGAAGCCAACAGAGAATGAATCCGCCAACGATGATACCCAACGTCTTCGCCGCCTTCGTCTCCATGCGAAACCTTTTCACCTACGAACAGACAACCGCGCGATCTTTTATTATTTTTAACGCCACGAGTCCGAGGCTCTCTGCTCGGATCCTTCGTCGAAAACATTTTGAAACTCGAGAAAATTCTCTAAACGGTGAAAGTCTGAATAATGGGAGGAGGGACTGTCGAGAATGGGAGGAGCAATTGTGAAAGGTGGGGGAACTGAGTCTGCAGAGTGGACAAAACGTTCTGAAATTACAAAATGTGGGAGTGGCGATCGCGAAGAGTGGAAGGATCGACGTGAAAATTGAGGGAAGCGATTCAGAAGAATTGGAGTATCAGTTCTGAAGAGTGATAGAAGAGATTCTGAGTTGAAATATTTAAAAAAAATAATAGAAATAATTCTCAGAAGTGGGAGTATCGATTCCAAAGAGCGTGTGAGACTGTTCTGAAGAACAATGGAAATGATTCTGAGGCGTGGGAGGAGCAATTTCAGAGAGTGGGCGTGGCAATTGTAAATATTGGGAGGAGCCATTCCGAGGAGTGGGGGAAACTACGCTAACCTTGAACAAGTCTGGTTTCGGAGGAACGGTAGCAACAGTTGGAAAGCGGTTTGGTGTTTCGAGCAGTTCGGTACCTGGGCTTTTATGTTCCTCTTGCCCATCTTCATCGTTCTGGGCTTCTCCTCGGTGCCCGGGTTCAGTTCCCGCAGTGACACTTCGTCTCCTGTTATTTGACTCTCGCAACTGCTACGTCTGCTCGGCCTCCTGGTGCTGCCTACTCGATTGATACCGCCCACCTGCCACGAACGTATCGAATCGATATTAACGACAGCCGTTCTCACCATTTATTCGCCAAGTACAACTCGTGTCGCGTGGAATTTACGACGCTCGTAAGCCTGCAATTTCCTTCCCGATCGAAAAACGGAATAAAATGTATCCTTGACTCTGCACGTTGCATGCTCGCAACGCGGTGCATAATCGAGACAATAAAAACCCTAATTCGAGCGGCGATTTATGTTTCGTTCCGTTGTTCGCGAATTAAATCACTTATCGAATTAACGATCTCCGTTCGTGGAAAATTTATTCTGAGATCCATTCGAGGACAGCTTGTTTCGAGCTTTCGATTCCATTACTCGTTCCTATTCGAACTTAATAATTTCGAACGGTATCGAGTACTCCGGATATCAGTTTCATCGAAACGTACGGGACAGGCATTATGTATATTAATTATTGATCCCATGTTAATGACACGTCACTTGTTCTTCGTCGCGAATTACAAAGGTCGCCCGGATGGTTATTCAAGCAGCCAGGAGTACAGATTTCAGCGCATTCAGGGCCTCCGATGCATATTTATGGAGCTCTATAAACGTCCACGCAAGGAGACGACGAGTTTCTATTTTCCGCGTGGCGCGATTTAAATTTCAGAAAATTTAATTACACGCGAAAGAAGAAGGCGAGCAACGTTCTCGTGGAATCGCCGGCGAGAGAGATAGCCCGATATCGATTTCGGATTAAAATCCTCGCATTAAGCCCTGGGCTTAAATTCCCATCCGTAACTTCGTTAAATCCGAAAACGGTTTCTTAAACGGGTATTAAAATAAATTGTACGGTTTCGAACTTATTTCACGGTCGTTCCGGAATCCCTTTTCATTCGTTGCACGTTTGCCCGAAGACGTTTTCAAAATTGTGAATCGTACGATCGTTGGACTCTCCGGAGCTATTATAAATTAAATTTAAAAGTTTTCACAGTTTAACGTCTGTCGACCGGTGTTATTATCGACGCTTCTCCGGGCGCGATAAACGTTGAAAAAATGAACGCCGAGATGGAGGCGATTCAACGAGGAACTCCGTGGAGGAAAATTACCTTGAGATGCGTGCTCCTCGAGGCTGGACAGAGCTGGCTCTGCGTCTGCCCGTTGCTGTAATGCACGGAGGTTTGAGAGCATCTCGAGGGCGTCCTCTCGAGAGTGTTACACTTTGTATTCAGTGTCTCCGTGCTCGGATAGGAGACCGAGATCTCTATCTTCTCCCTTTTCACCGAGCTCCGACTATTCGACTCCGGACTCCTCGGGCTTCCGTTGTTGCTCCCGTTGTGAACGCTTCCTCGTCCCCGGTGCATCCTCAAGGTCAGCCTTTGTTCGCTGAATCTGTGGAAAAAAGTCCCGTCCCGTCGGGTGCAAAATGCGTGCAGACATCTACGGAGTTTATTCCCAAGCCCCCAAACTGACTCTTCCCTCTACGACTTTCCCTTTCACCCTTCCTTGCAGCCACCATTTTTAAATTTTCGAACATTTAACGCGCCCAGATTATAGTACAATCCAAAACGAGTCGAAAATGTGGAATAAAGTTTTTTCATATGGGGCTTCGTTTCGCGGATAAACGAATTTAGAAAATTGTGGGGCACATCTCACTACGTTGGTGCCCCATGAATCTTTGACGTCGATTTTCTCGAAAATGGAGCCACTCATGGAAAAATTGTATTGCACATTTTCGACTTACTTTTTCACGTAGAATCAGATTCCACTTTCAGTTATCACTGTTGGGGTATATTAAGCAAAGTAGTACTTATATCGCGTACTGTACGTTCGAAACATGTTCTCCCGGATGGGATTTTAACGAGATTTCAAGGGCCCCCCATCCCTATTAATTTCAGGGTGCTTCATTATTTCCAGTAGTTCCCCCGCATTTACAGGGAACGCAATCGTTGACTCTGGCTATTACCTTTGTTCCATCACGCAGTTCTCTGTGGCCCGTAGTAATTAAAACCAGTTTGGGCTACAACCCGACCGTGGCAGAACATTAAATTACTGCGGGCCACGGAATACTATTTCATAGAACAGAGGCAGTGGCCAAAACCAAAGGTTACTTTCCCCTAGAAAATACAATCTTCGCGAACAACAACCCTAATAACCTCCATAGCGATACAGGGAACAGACTGTAGATTTCTCTCGGATTGTAGATGGAATTATCAGACTCTAAACTAAAATATATGGAATCTCAGAATTGCTGATGGAAGGGGAGGTACCGCGAAAGGAAAATCTGCTGAAAATCTCGGATGCAAGCGTTTTCCAGCTTACCTGGAGCCGAGCATTTTCGAGCCCTTTGTCGTGCGGAAGCCTTGATTAATGGCCTTGGTCGTGGAGACGGCCGCGTTGTATATTCGCCAGTAGAAAAACAGCATGACCAGCATCGGTATATAGAAGGAGCCCAGGGCGCTGGAACGCGAGAGAAAAAAATAAAAGAAAAAGAAAAGAACTTTTTAATCTCAATATATCCGCGCGCAACGGGGCAACAATTCCGTCCGAGCCGCGAGGGATTCGTCCACCACCCTGAACATTTTCAAACGCTGTTCCGAGCTTACGGCCGCGCCTATTTAAACTTTCGTTTGATCCTCCCCCGCCATGGGTGGGGACTAGTTAACCATTTCAATTCTTATACGGATCGCTTCTCTTCCCCGTTACTGGGGGGGCGGTCGGAAACGTTAGGGAACGCGGTTTCACGGTCTGTCGAAATTAGAAAAAGCAACTCGAGGCCATTCCGAGTGGCGAGACTGTTAAGAACGTCGACGGGAACGAGTTCTTTTATTGCGATTTCGGTAAGCAGCGTTGAAAACCTACTCTCTCGAAACAATTTTTACCTCGAACCTAGGAAACTGTTTCAAGATGCCGATGCATGAAACGTGGAACAGTTTCGATTTGGTATACATCGAATAATTTGAATTTTTACCTCGAATATTAGGGATTTTGTACCATCGATACGTGGGACAATTTGTATCGAGGATTTATGAAATAATTTTTATCCCGAATGTGGGCAATTTCCATTCTACATTTCGAAATAATTCAAAGAATACTATACCCTCGATATAAGGTAAGATTTGTACCCCGGATATTTGAAACGACCAGTCTCGATTTGCTCGAGTTTTTCCCCCAAAATTTTCAGCCTATTAATCGTTTAAAAAAATAAAACCCTCATTACGGTTGAATCGTTATTCATCTTTATCGCCGTTCTGTCGACAGTATCGCATTAATTCATTCTGATTCGATGATCTTTTTGACGCGATCCCGCACGCTCGAGCAATCGCGAATGGAACGAAATATTATAGATAATGCGCCCGATGGGAATCGTAAATTCGTCCCGACGCTCGATGGAACATTACGCATCTACTCGATGGTTGATTTAGATGCGGCATCGCGCATAAAGCGATCCGGATTGATGCACACGCCGATCGCGATAACACGCGACAAGAATAGAACCAGTCGCTGGCAGAAACTCAGATCTCACACTTGACATTGTAACGGTGCCTATCGTTGCTCTGGCTCAGCAGAATTAGTGCAACGGAACCCGGTTACGTAAACCAATAAAATCTTTATCCAAACGCTATTTCCGCGATGCATTCCACGCCGAAAACGAATTGCACGCTGTCGATACCATAACAACGTTCTTCGAATATTTCTAACAGCACGTTCTTCGTAGCATCGGATATTTTTGTTCATTGTTCATTATTTGCACCATCTTTGGTTTTTAAACGACGACTTTCGTAATTTTTAAAAAAACTGAAATATCCGAAACTTTTGATTCGAGTGGGAATTTAATTCCCCCAACTTCTGTTTTAGAAATTTCGTTCGAAACTTTTGCCCTCGCCCGACGAGAGCCCCGCGATTATTTCAATTTTCAAAGGATCTAAGATTCAGCGATCTTCGTTCGGAGAAATTGAAATTCCTGTAGTTATTAGACGAGAGAGGCAGAGTTCTAAGGTTCTTTTTTTAGAAACGGATCTCTCGTGTTAAGGCTCACCTATAGACGACGTAACCAGCATCGTTAGTGAGCTCGCAGATCCAGGGACACGGTTTCACCGGAACCAGGATGGTGGTGGTGTTGAAAGGCCCCTTCTGTGCGAATGTCACGTTGTACGTGGGATGCGACTGCGGAACCAGCGAAAGAAAGTAGAAGAACGTCGTGTAACGAGGGAGAAATTGTCGGGGATGATGCTAGTTACCCGTTTGTCTTTCCATCCAACGAGGGGCGGGAAACAGATGATGAAGCTCAGTATCCAAACGGCGGCCACTAGCATTCTGGCCCTCTTCGGCGACATGATCTGTATTTCCAAATCGATTCGAAAATATCAAACGCAAATATAAAAAAATAATCACTAAACCGCGGATGTTTATTTTCTCAAAAGACTACAGACTGCACTTGATACGCAAAAATATGAGCAATGCTTAAAGTAAGATACGAATTACAATTTTTAAGGGTTGAGACAACCCTCTACAAATCTCCCATTTAATCAATTCTATTAATAAAAATATGAATTTGCATGAAGATCTGCAGTCTATCAATCACTGAAGATCATCTAATTTTATAAAAAAAACTAAGAAATTAAGAAATTCTACCGATTCTATTGGTTTGCAAATTTTAGAAACATCGCAGGTTTGCTTGGAATTACAATTTGATTAAAAAAGAAAATCATTGTTGGACTTTCCAAGCAGTTGTCGAGCAGATAGAAACCTATCAACGAGTTTTAAAATGTGAACAAACACCGTGTAAAAGTCTGCAGTCGCGTTCGATTTGCAGGTAATTAAATATCGAAAGGAGAATTTACTTTGGAGCAATTCGACTTTTCAGGCGGGCGCTTCGAACGAAAGGTGCATTGTCGTGGAAGTCGGGAACTTTGGTAGTCAAGGGAATATCAATCGATCGATTAAGTCATCGAAGGGAAACATTGGCCATTAAGGGACGTATTTGGAGGGAACAAAGGGGAAACGGTCGGAGACGAATGGCCTGATCGACCGTGGCAACCCGTACACCTGTTTCTCGAGATCGAATAATGGGAGAATTGGGTACTTGCCTGAGGGTAACTGACTGGCCTGGTCACCGCTAAGTATCTATCGAGGCTGATGGCGCATAAATTCAATATGGACGCCGTGCACATCAACACGTCCACTGCCAGCCAAACGGAGCACCATAGATCGCCGAAGATCCACACCTTGGGGAAACCATAAAGTCCTTTTACTCACATCAATTACATAACTCGCCTTAAGATTATCACAAAGTTCGTTAAAAACGTTTTTAACTAAAAACAAACGAACAAAATGTTGATTTGGGGGAAATTTAACAAAATTCCATTGGATAACAATAGAATTTCGAGTACTTTCGTCGGAATTCGCGCAAGTTTTCTTGCATGGTTTCGTGGCTTTTCGTTATTCGGTACAAGGTACTTTGTGCTCTTTTTTTTTTTGTTTTTTAAGCGGGAATACGATACAGAGTTACGTAGAAACCCTCGTTTCAGCGATATACCCCTCTCACAATAGAATTCCTTCATCCGTCCCCATTCACTACTTCAATCTCCTCATCCTTTCGAACACCGAAACCAATACTGCACCCGAAGCTCCCTTATTCCAGCCGCGCAGAGCTGACTCGAGGAACTCGGCTGGCTCGGCAAGAAATGTGAATTTCTATTTGTAAGCGATGCGTTTTCGAAATTCATACGTTTCCGTGGCTGCCTTGCGCCGCGGCATGGAAGTATGGCCAGCGTTTACGTTCCCGTCGATAATACACAGCTGGAAACAATCCGTGGATCGTATTTCCGCGAACCTCCGTGGAACGTATCGAATTTCGCCTATCTTTTATCCGATACTATGTTTAAGTAACATACAGAATATTATGTATACGACGAACTACGAAATTTACACAATCTTTGGAACTACGAAACGATACATATTTTATCGATCAGTTACAACACCTTCTTTGTGCAAATTCATATTTCGATTAATAGAATCAATGAACTGGAAGCAACATCAAAGCCACTTTAGTTTTAAAAACAATTCTCTACACGGGGCTGAAAATATTTATAAAGACCAGATATTTATACAAATTCGTATTTTGATTAATAGAATTATTGACATGGGAGCTTTGTAGAGGGTTGTCTCAACCCCTAAATATAATAATTCTTACTTGAAGTATTATCTTATATTTTTAGGTATTAAGTGTATTTTGTAGTTTTTTGAGAATTTCTCAGAAATGCATAAATATCCACAGTCTATATATTTATTTCTCTATATCCATGATGTAATTGCTTAAGAGACTCCAATTTCCTTTTTAAAAAGTAAAAGAAGGCTTGAGAGTAGCAAGTCTGGATTTACTCAAATCCCGGAAGCCTCTCGAATTGACAAAATTCATCAAACGGATCCCATTTCTGCAAATTGGCGCAGCAATTTCGAACTTTTGATCGATAGCGTACGTTCCTGCGATTCCGCGGAAGGAATGTATACCCAAATTTCGGTCGTACATTACAATTACACGGCGTATTATTCCGTGCAACCGGGAATCCCCCGAGGGTCCAGCTTCGAGGGCTCGATTATCAAGAACCGGGATTTCCCATTATCGAGCGTCCCGACGCATTATTCCCAGGTAAGACGCGAACGCGACCGGACGCGTCGATCGAGCGACGAGGCTTCCGCGATAATGGAACGCACCCTCAGTGAGTGCACGCAGCAGGTGCAACCGGGGGTTGTAGCGAGCCGCGTGCACGCCTCTGTACAACCACCTGTTTCGAATTACCCTCGACCCACGGCCCCGACGTTGTTCGATTCGATTAGTCAACCCCGGGTCGCGACACCGTCTCCCCGCTTAATAACGCTCCTCCTCGTTTATATTAATCCAACACACCGTGAACTTCGGGGTAAACATTCCGGAGAACAGGATACTCTGCATTGGAAACCCAATTTTTAAACACCTTCCTAAAATTTCAAAGAAGAAACTTCCTCGTACGATATTTAGAACGAATATTCAGCGCCATTTTATGTACATTATTCTTTTCCAATTGGAAATAATGAAAATCACGAAAAAAGCATGTGCTTTTACACATTCGGGATGAACATTCTGGAGTAGAGGGTACTCTGCATCTTTTACAATTTAAAAGAAGAAACTTCCTCGAACGATTATTAGAACAACTATAGAGCACCATTTTATGTACAATATTTTTTCAGCCAACTGGAAATAATTAAAATTACAAAAAAAAATATGGTTTAATAGTGTGCACGATTCCTACCCTTCTGTCAATCTAAGAAAAGCAGAATATCATTTAGAAATATTATTACAAATTTAATAGGAAAATCAAAATCTCTGTGTTTGTCATATCCCCCTAAGTTTTACATCTTCGTCCAAGCAGTTAAAAAAATTCTGTTATTATTTTAAAATTCCTCGAACGAAACAAGCCTGTGGATTCACCGCAGAGAGGCAATGTAATTTCGTCCGGAATTAGCCTACCGTTTAGGTTCTTTCTTCTTCTCGAGGGGAGCCGGCCGTTTTACAAATTGCAATAATCCCGCCCACGGCTGGCAAATTTCGCCCGAGCGGTCGGTATTCATCCGGAGCGAGTGCATGGTTCGGAAAAGTTTTTACTTTCTTCCAGCAGGATGCGAGGTTCGCTCCATTTCGCGATGGTTTTCTGTATTTTTGCATTTCCGGGATCCCAGGCGCGTTTTCCCTGGGCCGATTTTCTTCCGGGCCGGCCGTTGATTTCCCAGAAGCTCGTCGGCCGCGTGCGCGGGTTCCAATTTACCATTACCCCCCCTCGGTTGAAAAGTGAACCCCTCGTCGAGCCGATGAATATGCGAATGACGCCTCCGGTGTCGTCTTCCTCCTCGGAGGATACTTAGAAATATACTCCGTCGTTTCAACTTGTTTCTTTTCCGCGCGGATAAAAGCGGGTAAGAAGCTTTGGAAAAGCTCGCTTTGTATCGTTAGAGTGGCGTAAATTTCCCCCAACACCCGTAGCGTAACTCGAACCTTTCAGTTTGTTTAACGAAATTATTTGTCGTATCGAGGAAAGTAATGTAAAAATTCGACGGCGTAAAAACGTAGTGCAGAGTATCAGGAAAATTGAGGCGAAAGGGTGGAAGGTCAACCACAATATCTATCGATAATAATCCAGTCTTTAAACAATTTGATTAGCGTAGAATATAAAAATTTTGTTATCATTTTAAAAAATTAATTTGCATCCTGGTAGATTTAAATAATTTGTTTGTTGCAATTTTTTTCCAAATTAGAACCTCTTTCGAGATCACTCATTGAGTTTCGTTGAACGAGGATTAGTTCTGACCCGAGGTTCAGCGAATAATCGTTTTACAGCCAAACTGAAAATTGTTATCTGCATAATAAATTAACAATGAGATTTCTTGTGCAAAAGTGAGTGGAAAATGTGGTATAAAGTTTTTCCGTACGAGGCCTGGTTTTCGAGGAAATAATTTATGAAGTTTATTCTGATAGACTTGGCTGATGTGGCTGACTATGCCTCGATATTTCTACTTAAATTATACTTAAATTGGTATTTATCACTATCTGCAAGCATTGGTGGAACTATACTACCTTCTGTCAGTCGATGTTCCTGTCTTTGAACCATCTGTAACCAATTACAACTGATAATACTACTGCTAGTATGCAAAAACACAAAATCAAGTAGAAATTATCGATAATGGTCAGACACGTTCGCCAAGGCACAACAGACGAAACTTCAAGATTTATTTTCTCCGAAACGAAGCCTCGTACCAAAAAAGTTTATTGCACTTTTTTTATTCACTTTTGCACAAGAAATCACCCCAATTTTTTCGTACCCGATTCTCGCACTGTACAATGAATTACACCGAGATTGAGAGTCAATCATATATATTCTTTGCAATAGTTAACAGAGATACTTCTACCGTTTATATTTTTGCTTATTTTCCAATGTGAAATATAATTATTCAAAGTACAGACTATCGAATATAGTAATATTAAATTCCAATTTCATTTTTCATCCCTGGTAATCTTCTTTTGATACTTTCAATTCCCACGAAACACGACTAGTTTGAAAAACGGTGATTTCCGGATAAAAAGTCGGGTAATCCGATTCAGGACGCGTTAAGTCTACGCCCCTCGTCTTCGGATCCGGATAAGGGGCGCTAAGGCCTGACATCCCCCGTTTTCTGACTCGCGCCCCTTTCTCAGCGTGAACGTTCATCTTCCGGGGCGCAACCCCAGCCCCGGAAGAAACGAAGGACGACAGCCGGCAAACTGTTGCGCCTAACTCCCCCTCCCCCCTACCCCCCACACACCCCCTTCCTCCGGCATACCGTAACTCCCACAGTTATTTCGCGTTTACTCTTTTTCGCCAGGAATTCTTTAGGGTGAACGTGCACGTGATGGGGTTGCTGGAAAAGTGGGTAAATACACCCTTCCGGGAGGATAAATAGCCCAGGTAATTGTTCCCTGATATTTTTTCGACCGCCTTTCTGTTCCATTTCAGAAACAACATCGAGGGTGAGTTTTGCTCGGGGAAAATTGCATTCATTATGCAGCCACAGTTTTCCCAATGCTTCGGAAAATATTGCGTTGGTAATAACCGTGATTCGTACATTTTTTTACCACAATTAACACTCGAGGAAATTTTTCACAAGATATTTACCCCTTTACGATTTAATTCAAGAGACAGTACGAGGTATAATAAATGTTTGAGAATAAATTGCACGAGAGTTTATAACATTAATATCCTTCGAATACGTTGAATTAATTATTTTAATACACTACTTCAGTTATTAGTAAATATATGAACGGGAGTTCCCTAAATCAAAATTAAGCTTCGGAAAGAAACTTTTAATGGGCTGTTTTAATTCACTTGTTTATTGTAGATTCCAGAGCGCACGATTAATCAACTTTGTTTTTGTGTTATAACTTTTCATTCGGGTCCTCTTCGTAGAAGTATTAATTATATTCGAGGCTATGAAATCTCATGGCAGCGTCGATTCAATATTGTATTATATTGATTAAAATACTGTTTACACGCGTGCAGATGGTCGGTGGACTATATGGGTGCAAATAGTATTTCGATCAAAATAATGTAATATCGAATTGATATCGTAACGGTTACACAATCTGGAATATAATTAACACTTTTCAAATCCAACGAAAGGCAATAATTAGCTTCCAAAATACAGAACAGTCAAATAAATTTTTCTGACATCGAAACATGCATATTTTCGATAGATACATACGTCAAAGAAATAATAATATTTTTTCGGTTTTAATTTGAAATCTATGTTGGAGTTACATCCTGAATGAGATCAACGCCATTTTATTTGCTCCCGTCGAACGTGCACGCACAAAAATTTCATTTCCACGTTCGTTGTACGGTTTATCGAAAGTGAGAAATTAATTTCGCGAGTGTAGCATTGTTGTAAAAAATTCATTCAAAATGCCCTTTGTCCGGCGACGTTGATATTCGAATGGTAACGATACCATGCTTCGTACTATTTTCCCATTGAAAGTGAGAACATTTCCGCGAATAAATATCGAGAACGTCGGGAATTAAAAATATCCAGTCGAGCGGTATCGTTCGAGTCGGAAACGCTCGGCCGTGAATCCTTTCGTACCGAAATCTTTGCGGCAATTCGGCCATCGTCGGTCGAACGCTCAATTGCCGGCAACAAAGTTTCAAATTTCGGAATAGGTTTCCGCGAATATCACCGATGCCCGAGAGCACTCGAAACTCGAGCCAGCGGATCCGTCACTTTGAAACTCGCTAACTCATCATCGTCGGTTCGCAAATGCCGGTTCAATTGACGCCATTGTGCCCTCCTCCTTGTACCGAAAAAGAGCTGATCGATTGCTGCGTCGAGAGTCGCGGATAGACCCGGGGAGATCAAAGGCTGACAGTTTCGAGACTCCGTCGGGAATAACGAAAACCAGAACTTTTCGCTACGAGGTCACTCTGTATCGAAAAACCCGCTCCTCCGACGCGTTTTCGATTCCTCGCCCAATTTACGACGACTAAATGGAATCTTTTCCCTTTATTTCAATCTCATCCCTAATGGCAACGCTGTTACTTTACTGTTTAAAATAATCAGGGGTTAGTAACCCCCATCTGTTGACCTTGTAAATAAAAATACATGAAGAACAAATGAGGACCCAAATGCCTGCAAGAAAAGTGCTAAGAAGAACGTTGAAATATTTTGTAGCTATTAGATAATTTAAAAATCGAAGAGGACAGGCGGATGCAACTGACCTTGAAGACCTCCCAGGTGGCGCTGAAGGGTAGGACAGCCAGTCCGACCAAGAGATCGGCAACAGCGAGGCTGACGATGAACGTGTTCGTCACGTTTTGCAGTTTGCTGGTGTAGTATACGGCCAGGATCACCAGGACGTTTCCTAGCACCACCATCACGTTCACGATCGCCAGGACGATCAGGGTAATCACGATCCACGGGCCGGACCACTGGACGCGCTCGTACAAAGTAGCGCAATCGCTGGCGTTCAGTTCTCGCATCTTAGTTGCCAAGGTCCTCTGGCGCGTCCGTGCGATCCTCTCGAAGGACTTTCAAGGACTTCCTGAACGACGGTCGAACGAGTGGGCTCGGGGAACGCCACCGAGCCGCCTGAACCTCCATCACGACTCTCCAAGATCGATGGTACCGGTGATCGATCATCGACTCCCGAGGAACGTCATTGTCGGTGAAACGGGGACCATGGCTCACCCATTCGATCTCCCTCTGCTCGACTTCTGGGCTCTATATTCGATATCCAACTTCGAACTTTCGAAGACCTTGAACCAGAGTACTTTTTAGAGCTTCTGTTCGTGACTGTATAGCAGAGGGAAGTATTCTGATTTCCTCAACCTTGGGGGCACTCTCTTTTACAAAGTAGAGCACCTTGACTCCTCTTTACCCTACAAGCCGGAGTACTCTAACTTATTGCCTTTAACCTCAAAATAGCCTTTCTATAGCCTGATATGCAGCGATTCCTTCCGTTTAACAGAGTAACTGTGTCCTTTTTAAATATAAAACAGAGTACTTTTATTCCAGAGCAGAGTGATTTGGCTCTATTCTTGTTGCATTTTTCGAGTACTCTAAATTGAACCTTGGAGCAGAGTACTCTGACCCTTATCTTCCTTTTTATAGCCCAATTTTCCCAATAGAGTACATAAGCTGCCCTATAGTCCTCGAGCCAGAGTACTTTGTTTCTCTAACCGAATACAACCCCCGTTCCTGAACTCCCAAGCAATTTAAGTTCTTTCCTTCGTAGCAACTCTGACTCCCCTCTATCTTCAGTCTTATCTCCGTTTCGCTCTGTTCCTTCGTTTGAGCCGTCTCGTACAAACACTTGGGTATCTTCTTCCTTCGACGCGTAATTCTCGGGTTAAACGAAGACGTTCCCGGCTTAGGATTCACCGATCTGATCGATCGACTTAATTACCGCTGTAGGATCCCCCTAATGGATGTGTCTCGTCACCCACGAGTACCCAAACTTCGACTATTCTTCTATCCCCGATAAATAATCCCGGAAGTCAGACCCAACCCAGACATCAGATTCCTCGCGTCTACGCGAGTTCCGGCTCCGTCGATCTCTCCCAGGATCACCTCGATCCTCTATTGTCTCTTCGAACTATTGTCTGCGCCTCCCTCGTCCCTGCTTCCAAAAAGGACAACCGCGATTAGTCGAAAAAAGCCTCTCCCGGTTCTAATTACTCGCGTCGATCCCGAAAAGACTCGAACCCTCTAATTTAAATTCTATCCTCCGAACCACCGCTTCCTCTAATTCCCTCCTTCGCCTTGAGCATGCTCCCCGTGGCCAATTGTTACGCTCCTCGTTAACGCCCTTCCAAAGTTCACCTTACGGTTCTTCCGTGGAAATTAAGAAAAATTGTTTCCCTCCTCGTTCGAGCGATTTTTCAACCCCCTCGGAGTCGTTGGTCCGGTATCCTCGCCTAAATTCGATCCCATTTCAGCGTCGCGACGAGGACGTCCCGGCACGCTGACTCCGCTCGTTCGATCCTCGTTTCCATCCCCCCACCCTCCGTCACCCTCCAACACCAACCCCACGCGCGTTATATCGCCTCGATCGCGATGTTCTCCACGTCCTTCCGCTCGTCGTTCACCTCTGCCTCGTCCTCGACTACGCCCCTCGTTTTTCAACCCCCTGGCGAACCACCTTCCCGAGTCTGGGCTCCCCCTTTATTATCCACGACGACGAAGACCCTCCGTTCGGGGTGAGAATTCGCGAAAGTGTTATTTCGGTGATAAATAAATAACAGAGCGCTCTTCCCGTCGATATAAATCCTTACAGTATTCCGTTCTCGAGTTCGTTTTGGATACCGACAAGTTATTCGAGTCTCGAAAGCAACGATTTCGAAAGTTCTCAGTCTCGTGGAATTTTTTACAGGCGGATATTTGTTTGTTTTCGATTCGCTCTGGGAATTTTCTCCTCGATCTTGCCGGGTGCTCAGACACTTCGAGGGCCCTTCGGTCGCGAACTGCACCGGCTCCTGCCGTCTGGATTGAATTTTTAATCGCGCGTTTCGAGACTCCGGGATTTCCGAACCAGCGAACTTGTTGGAATACTTAACTTCGCCTCTCCCTTGTACTTTAACCTTCAATCGCAGACGGAAGACTTACAAGGGCCCCGTCTTCCTTTCAGACTCCCTAATTCCTAGATTCCACGATCTTTCAACCAATTTGAAAAAATCCGCTTCCAAACTTTCCTCCTCTATCTCACAGTCTTAACTCTCTCTCTCTCGTTTTTCAGCTTATTCGAAATGTTATTCCCTTGCTGCTCAATTTTGTTCTTCGATCCTCTTCCCAATTTGTTAAACTACCGGAAACGGAAGAATCCTCGAGGTCCAGTTCCTCCCCCTTCGACGGTTCGGATTCGAGGCGGAGCAACACTAAAGACACGTTCACAGTCGCGTTCACACTCACACGAATCACACGGCGATTATCTCAGGTTCCGGTGGAGCCAGGCGTGGAGGAAATCAGCAGCGTTTTTGGTTTCAGTCTCGTGCGTCAGTCTGCGTCGGTCGGTTCCCGTTTTCGTTCGCACGTTCGACTAAATAATCTTCCGACACTTGGCGCGGTGCGTGTACCTCAGCAGTCTGAAGCGCGTCTCCTCCTCGATGCGCTTCGCTCGCATTATTCCGCCAGCGAGGCACCCGAAGCGTTTTCAAGCGGGAACTGCGTTGCTGCCGGACGCGCGCTACGATCTGCAACACGTGAAACGAACCTGAGCACATCGTAAAGCGGCATCGTCGTCGTGGGCAGCCGTGGCATTGATCGACCGAATGACTTTCTCATTAACACGTTGACCGCCACGTCACCCACGCGTGGGCGGCCGTTCGGTTTTCCCGCATTTGGGCGACTGCGCCTCCAGAAAATTCCGATTTTCCTAATAGTTTATAAGAAATCACTAAATTTTAATTTTAGGTACGTTAAAACCGGTAATTCGTGCATTGAGGCTTAGAAAATCTCTTTCAGACGAAGATTCTGTTCGCAAACTTAGTATTTATTAAGACAAGTGTATTAGTTTGCTACTGCAATTCTATAATTCCAATTTTCTATAATATTTTGTAACAAATCACTAAATTTTAAATCTAGGTGCATTAGAACCTCGGCAATTCGTGCCTCGATGCTTAGAAAACCTCTCTGAGACGAAGATTCCGTTCGTAAACTTAGTATTTGCTAAGACAACTGCATTATCTTGCTATTTCCATTCTATGATTCCAATTTTTCCTAATATTTTGTAACAAATCATTAAATTTTAAATCTAGGTACCTTGGAACCTTAGTAATTCGTGCCTCGATGCTTAGAAAACCTCCTTGACACGAAGATTCTATTCGAAACTTAGTATTTACTAAGACAACTGCATTACCTTGCTATTGCCATTCTATAATTTCAATTTTTCCTAATATTTTGTAACAAATCACTAAATTTTAAATCTAGGTGCATTAGAACCTCGGCAATTCGTGCCTCGATGCTTAGAAAACCTCTCTGAGACGAAGATTCCGTTCGTAAACTTAGAATTTATTAAGCAACTGCATTACTTTGCTATTGCCATTCTATAATTCCAATTTTTCCTAATATTTTGTAACAAATCACTAAATTTTAAATCTAGGTATATTAGAACCTCGGTAATTCGTGCCTCCATGCTTAGAAACCTCTTTGAGACGAAGATTCTGTTCGTAAACTTAGTATTTAATAAGACTACTGCATAACCTTGCTATTGCCATTTTATAATTCGAATTTTTCCTAATATTTTGTAACAAATCACTAAATTTTAAATCTAAATACATTAGAACCTTGTAATTAGTGCCTCGATGCGTCGAAACCTCTTTGAGACGAAGATTCTGTTCGTAAACTTAGTATTTGCTAAGACAACTGCATTATCTTGCTATTTCCATTCTATGATTCCAATTTTTCCTAATATTTTGTAACAAATCATTAAATTTTAAATCTAGGTACCTTGGAACCTTAGTAATTCGTGCCTCGATGCTTAGAAAACCTCCTTGAGACGAAGATTCTATTCGAAACTTAGTATTTACTAAGACAACTGCATTACCTTGCTATTGCCATTCTATAATTTCAATTTTTCCTAATATTTTGTAACAAATCACTAAATTTTAAATCTAGGTGCATTAGAACCTCGGCAATTCGTGCCTCGATGCTTAGAAAACCTCTCTGAGACGAAGATTCCGTTCGTAAACTTAGAATTTATTAAGCAACTGCATTACTTTGCTATTGCCATTCTATAATGCCAATTTTTCCTAATATTTTGTAACAAATCACTAAATTTTAAATCTAGGTACCTTGGAACCTTAGTAATTCGTGCCTCGATGCTTAGAAAACCTCCTTGAGACGAAGATTCTATTCGAAACTTAGTATTTACTAAGACAACTGCATTACCTTGCTATTGCCATTCTATAATTTCAATTTTTCCTAATATTTTGTAACAAATCACTAAATTTTAAATCTAGGTGCATTAGAACCTCGGCAATTCGTGCCTCGATGCTTAGAAAACCTCTCTGAGACGAAGATTCCGTTCGTAAACTTAGAATTTATTAAGCAACTGCATTACTTTGCTATTGCCATTCTATAATGCCAATTTTTCCTAATATTTTGTAACAAATCACTAAATTTTAAATCTAGGTATATTAGAACCTCGGTAATTCGTGCCTCCATGCTTAGAAACCTCTTTGAGACGAAGATTCTGTTCGTAAACTTAGTATTTACTAAGACAACAGCATTACCTTGCTATTGCCATTCTATAATTCGAATTTTTCCTAATATTTTATAACAAATCACTAAATTTTAAACCTAAGTACTTTGAAACCTTAGTAATTCATGCCTCGATGCTTAAAAAACCTCCTTGAGACGAAGATTCTGTTCGTAAACTTAGTATTTACCAAGACAACTGCATTACCTTGCCATTGCCATTCTATAATTCCAATTTTCCCTAATATTTTGTAACAAATCACTAAATTTTTAATCTAAATTCATTAGAACTTCGGTAATTCGTGCCTCGATGCTTAGAAAATCTTTTTCAGACGAAGAGTCTGTTCGTAAATTTGTTATTTTTGGTCCATGGCAAGTGCATTATTTTGCTATTTCAATTCTATAATTCAAATTTTTCTCTTTTACCGAGGTTCAATTGTGTCTCGAGAGCAACACGTTTCGTTTGAAAGCAAACAGAAGTTTCGTTAAGTGAAAAATTTCTCACGTTATTAAAATTCTCTGCCAGGCAAAGTGTTATGAAGGAAAGTTTCGTGCGAAAGTTTGTCCTCTTTCCAGCTCGATTATAGTGCCAAATGAACGAAACTGGGAAATTACTGTATTAGAATTGTCTTTATGAATTTAGCGAACGTTACGGTAGAATTCATTTTGTAACAATGAACGAATACATTGATTAACAGAACGCAAATACTGCTCGTTCGAGTTCATTTGTTTGACACGGTAGAATCCTATTCTACTGTCTGATCATACGCTGGAACGTTTTACTGTTTCATTGCTCGTTTCGCTGTCTGAACGTACACTGGCAGACCGTATTGTTTCGTTTCGTACGGATTTCACTGGCCAACAGTGCACAAACATTTTGTAATATCCGGTCAAATACACTGGGAAAGATATTATCAATTATTCGGAGTGTTCTTGGACTTCTACCCACCAAATTTAATATTTCATGACCCGCTAAAAACACTTTGGAATAAACGTCCATAGGAAAAAGTGGTTCGATTTGAGGGTGCAAATATTACAAGTTTCAATTTTTTTCAGATTTCAATATCGTCCAAGTTATTTTTAAATAAGATTCGATTTGATTTAATTCAACACCAATCTGTTTCTCAATAAAAAACATTTCTCGTAATTAAATGGTACGTCGAGGGGTGGAAATTAAGCCATAGTCGACATGGAAAGTACCAGTGCGTCGCTCGATGAACTTTCAAAGTTCCGTGAAGACCGTCTTAGGGGCGGAAAAGGTTGGATGTTCGACGGAGGACGCGTTTAACAAACACTCGTCGGTGACAACGCGAAAGCCACCGACGACCCCTAAACTTTTACGAACCGAACGAGATTTCGTCGTCACGGTACCCGGAAGTGGCTCTGTTTATCGCGTACGGTCGCGTTTTCCCTGTTCCGGCGACGGAATTTCGTCCGCAGCCAATTTCCCCGCGTCGAAATCCACGGGGGAAACGCGACGCAATTTCGAGAGACCGCGGTGAACGAACGAAATGTTTGAGGACCAGCGTACCGTGTGCCCGCGGTTGAAAGATGATTTCGTTCACACAGGAAACGGACATGGAACACAGAGCCGGAGGAAACGGGCAGAAGAGGGTGGGAGGGAGACGGGGATCGCTGAAATGCGAATTCACGCGAGGCTGCGTTCGACGAATTAAGGCACGCCATTTTCGTTCGTCGATGTACTGGCGAGGAGGGATGGTTTTGTTTCTTCGTTGCTCGAATTTTTCGGATTTTTCTTTTTTTCTTTTTTTTTTTACATTTTCGGCGAACCAGATTCTGCTTTTGCGAATTCGGTTTCGACGATGGGGGAACAGAACGAATCATACCTAATTTTCAACTACAACGTAGCCATGACACATCCAATTTATCGCGTTTGCGATGGCAAAAATATCTGTGTAACGAGAAACGCTAAATTTCATCAATTATATTCGAGAGAGGGTAATTTAATTATATTCTACCATTGGAATATATTACAAATATATGCGCCTGGAATTTCTAGAAAATTTACTAGAATTTTTGAAAGGGTTCGCGCCATAACAATTTGTGAATTTTTCTGTTCGAAGAGTTATACGTACGAATAAAATTTCGTTTGACTACTCTAATACTATGCGTTTTAATTTGTTAATAGTAAAACGATACTTGAAAAATTTTATTTTAGTAATAAAATATAGAATATGACCCGGAAGTTTCAACGAATGTTCCAATGAAAATCGAAATATTGGCATGGCTATGGGAGCCGAAAAGTACACGCGAAGCCGGGTGCCTGAATGTTCAACGAAAAGGTGACGCAATTTATTTTTTGGCATCCTTACTCGCATTTGGCAAAGGTCACGATGTAATTAAGCTAATCACTGAATTGCAGTAGCGAGTTTTATTATACTATATGCAGGTGCTTGCGCGAATGGAACAGTCGCGTGTCGAGGTCTCCAACTTTAACGTCGTTTTCCTCGAAATTACTTTTTGCGAACCGGTCTCCCTAAAAACTGCCACGTTAATGAACCAATTTTTTTTTACGAAATTCGGGTGCACTCTGTAGCAAACATAATCTTCGACACCGTAACCAGAACCGATCACTATTTTTCTATTTCCAAAACTGGTTTACTTTTCCGCGAAATTTCACTGGTTTTTCTATAAACCCCGGTCGCTTCGAAAATATTGAATATTTTTTTTTTCCGCTGTAGTACCGATCGTGAAACTATGATTGCACCGAGCTTGAAACAATACCACTCACTCGTTTCAGAGTGATTATAATCGTACATACGTATTTTTATCGTAGACGTCTTTGGATTCATAGTGTTATTTAATCAGTATTTTAACGCAAACTGATACAAGAAGGTATTACTATACGATAAATCAATTTCATAGTCGATGTCCGAGAAATTTCCTATTTTCCCACTAACTGCACCATATTTCACTCTTGCAACGATATCACACACTATTGTAGAGCTTCTTGCAATGATCAGCGTTACGGATA